TCTAGATAACAACAACAGTGAGCGCCATCTTTCAATATAATAGTATTATTCTTTGGGCAATAACAAGTAAATGCTCTATAAGTAGAATACCTTAGCTAACAACATAGCTGCATTTTCACTATTCCAATATTTATACTTAAGAGAATTTCTTATATCTCTATTCAAAATCAAACAAATATATGTATATATCAAGTACAGACAGATTTAGGGTCAAAAACTTAAATTTTCTTCATAATTCTCTTTTGATTCATAACTTAATTCCATGAGATATATTTCTCATATAAAACAAATCTGGTTTCCCTAACAAAAACAACTATTAATCGCCTGTATACTTTACTTCTCTAATCTGAACAAACCGAGTCTTAAGTGGTTATCTCACCTCCCCCTGATGAAAGGCAGATTCCCTCTGTGAAACTTAATCTGAAAACGGTCTTGCTAAAGCAACAATACATCTATGCCTAACAAGTTTATATCTGTTGGCCTTGAAATTCAACACTGTTAAGGTTAAATGAGGATAATTCTCTTGGCCATGAGAACCATAGACATTATGACCTTGTGTTAATCCCAATGTAATTCTATCCAGATAGCACCATAATGATCAGTAGACTCAGTTTCAGTACTCAAATTTAAAAAATAGTTAAATTTCCTTACCTCAGGTTTATCACACACTTCCGGATCAAAAGTTATGACACCATTGAGAAGACTAGTCTCGGTCTATATGTAATCAATGATACTAAACTGTACCTCCCAACCCCAAGGTCTCAAAAGTTAAAGCCTCCTCAGCCTGTCATGCTGAGGAAACTGGGTAGCAATTCCTCAAGGGCAACATCTGACAAAAATTTAAATCTGACTTCATTGAACACCCTTGCAAATTGTGTGCTATATTTTTAAAACAGACAACCACAACTGATCACCAATCGATAATTGACTAAAAATAATAAAAAGGGTCCCTTAAAACAAGATTTTAAGAGCATCTCACCAAGCTGCCACCAATATAAAATACCAGCCCCGGAGTTATACAATAAGTAGGTAGCTACGACCGGGACTATTAATGAAGCTAGCATTTTATGATTCAATAAATGATCGATGATCATAAAGACAAAGGGTGAATTTTATGTCTAGAGATTGAAAGACTAAAACAAACCAAAACTCCAAATATTGATAATAATTCACAGATGCAAATCTTTAACTCAAAAGAAGACAATGAACAATTTTACCATTCATCTTATTCATTAATTTATTTTACAAACAAAATATTTCACATACCAAAAGCTTACTATTAAAGTATCACTTACAATGAGGAAATCAATTCTAGTTAATATAAGAGCAAACATCAAAAGCAAAATCTGCAGTCAGGTGAATATCATAAATTCCTTAAAAACCTGAAGCTAAGTTGTTCTTAATAATTATGAATTGATTCCAATCTTACTATAAATCATCTTTAAATCTCTTCCTTCATAAGGCTTTTAGATTTCTCATGATTCTTTTAGTAAAACAAGATAATGAAATAGAAATGGTATAAACTCTCATTAAAAGTAAAAACTGACGCTTACCTAAATAAGTTCAATTCGTTCCTCTTTTAAAATGACCATCTTGTTATTCTGTTCTATTTCAAACCTATCACAGCTTCTGTGCATGTTTGACTTCCAACAGACTATAGAAATAATCAAAGTCTAAAAACATGAAACTTCTATTGTACTTTTGACTTCATTTGTCCTCTTATAGAAACTTGAAAGTTCTAAACTTTCCTTTTCCATCTTTAGAACACTGAAAGTCCTTTACAATACTTTTCATCTAAATCAAATTGTTGTTCCCATCATTTACCAGCCAAGATGTGCCCTTGATGATCCGAAATCGCTAACCCAGGAGTTTGTAAAATCCTCTCAATTTATACAAGATATTTTTCCATTAAAAAGTGATGTAAGCAACAAAATGATGTAGGCACAATAATGACGTTAATACTATACTTAGCATATGACACTATATGACGTACCAAAAATAAAGCAACGTTTCAACTTTTACAAGGCTAAATGAAATGGATACTCTGACATAGTTAGAACAACTGCATCATGTTTTTAATGACTCAGAGTGTACTTTATGAGGTGAAATTGACATCACTTTGCTCAAATCAGCTGACTGCAGTTTTGACTATCTTACTATTCAATTGATACAATGGTATTCTAGTATGAATATATGAGTACTAAGCAATAACTGATTATATTATAATGAGTGGGCCTCTACAATATATAAAGCACAATATCAGTAAACATGCCCAAATGTACTTACATAAACTATCAACTTATATTCAAGCAATATGTAGTATTGTTTTCGTGGCAAAAATGAATCTTATATTAATACTTCTCATCTTGTTTTCTTTGGAAATGCCAAAGAATGATCATAAACATACTCTTCAAACATCTTGAACAAATCACTTGATTTTATGACGTTGCTAAAATTATTTATTTATGAAATATCGGAGAATATGACTCAAAATAATAAAGTTGAGGCAGAAAACATTGATAGAATACATGTTAAAGAATGGGAAAACAGAATTACACAAGTTAAAATCATTCATACATTAAGACATTGCATACATTGACTCCTTAAAGTGTCTCACATATTCGATCAGAATTTGCCATGCAAACATGTTAGTCTACTTTACTGGCCCCCTTGCTGTAACAAGGAACCCAAAACACATTAAAACGTAAACATAAACCAATTAGTCACTTCACTATGAAAGTGGGGGGGGTGTTAGCAAATGTGTATTAGCAGAATACGCTGTGTGCATGGACTAACACAGTATCAGTGGTCATTTACTGTGTCAACTTAGTAATCCTTGCATATCGTGCTCACTCAAGTATTGAATAATTTTTTATGATCTAAATGTTTGTGGTTTATAAAAAAAATGTGATATATTTTAGTTAGAAATACATTAATTAATATATTCATTCAAACAGCACTAGAATGCGGGAAGAAAGAGCAATGGTGACAAAATGCAGACAGAATTTTCCGTAAGGGTTTCAAACATTTCTGGACACAATCATACATGTACTTCATGTGTACTGTTATTTTTCAGTGCTGTATTTATACATATAATTTCACGTATTAAAATCACATTTTCCAGCAATGACTTCAAATTCGGAACCACACCCATATCACATTTTCTTCAATAACTCCAAACATGTGTAAACATTGACCATGTGCATATAAATTCAGATTTCACGCGCTCTTTCCTATTCGAGTACCTCATACACCCCTGCATGGATTTGAGTTGGATTCGCCTTTTATACGTGAGCCGATACACATCGCAAACGCTGATTGGATAAAGATTGCGAGAATCTTTAAGGCATTGCTAAGTATTCCAAGATGGAATTAGACAAAGGGAAATGTATTGAAGGTAGCTGTAGTTATCAGAAGGCTTGACATCCTATAGGTAGGAGGGTTCAGACTTGGTTTCAAAGACTGGAGGACAGAATGCTTCAAGAAATGCATTCCTGTTATGAAAGACTTCATAAGAACCCTATATTTTGATTGATTATAAGTCAATTATGTCATAACCTGACGAACTGTTCAAAGAACACAGATTGACCGAACAATTTCAGCCTTTCAAAGCATTCACAAAGTTAATTCAATTAAATAACGTCATATGTACCATGAGACCATTGGTTCACATTTTAAAGTCAATGTATCTCAAGAACTATATCGTGTATGGTCCTACAATTTTGGATATGAATGTAGGATAGATCCATAAGAAATTCCATATAAAAATAATAAAATCTCTTCTCTTGAGAAGCATTCGTGCAAGACTTTTCGAACGACCCTTGTATATTCGATTTGTCAAATATTTGTATCCTCAAACACACATGGCCATATTAATAAACACCATTAGTACATTATTTGGTAAACGCTATGGCAGATGGTGTATTTTGTGTATAACATATCTTCAATTGTAGACAACGGAGATATATAATTGAGTGTAGGTATTTCTGTCGTGAATCCAAGTTGTCTAGATTAGGTTGTCCAATATTTTCTATCCTCCAAACATTATTTATCCATCTCTGGGAAAAACATTTTTAGATTATTATTTTGAGAATGAAAGTACTTAAGAAATAAGAAATTCCATATAAAAATAATAAAATCTCTTCTCTTGAGAAGCATTCGTGCAAGACTTTTCGAACGACCCTTGTATATTCGATTTGTCAAATATTTGTATCCTCAAACACACATGGCCATATTAATAAACACCATTAGTACATTATTTGGTAAACGCTATGGCAGATGGTGTATTTTGTGTATAACATATCTTCAATTGTAGACAACGGAGATATATAATTGAGTGTAGGTATTTCTGTCGTGAATCCAAGTTGTCTAGATTAGGTTGTCCAATATTTTCTATCCTCCAAACATTATTTATCCATCTCTGGGAAAAACATTTTTAGATTATTATTTTGAGAATGAAAGTACTTAATAGAAGCGTTTAGATCATCGATATTTAGTTTTTGATTAATTCAATAGGCTTAGTAAAAAATGTTTAAGCATGTGTTGGAGGATACAAAATGACTTTCAAATGATGTGAAATATATACGTACAATCAAAGTTAGTTGTATTCGTATTTTTATGTTTATATTTCAATTACAGCAAAGTATGAGTCATTGCCAAACGAGGAAACAATATATTCACTTTCAGTTTCACATTTGATCATGTTATAACTTTGTGGGAATAGGGAGGCATGTAACCTTTACATTCCTATTACACATGCTATGCTTTCTTTTTACTTTTTATGACCGACACATAAGCATACAACTTACTTTGGATGATGTTTCTCATTTCCTCATTGCCGTTGACTCTATTTACATTCGAATTTAAATCATCCGCCATATGAATATTTTGATTTTCGAGTTTTGTATTTTTTGAAATATCAATTATCGTAAATTGCCCGTGTGACATATCACATGATAAAGTTATAAAACAGATAAAATGTTACAAAATTTTGTTTTTAGCCCACCATGAGTTACCAGAGGGCAGAGATCGATTTCTGCAAAGAGAACAGGCACAAAGACAAGCCAGGGAAAAGTCTAGTTCAGATATTCTGAAAGGCATTGGAGGTGAGAACCAACTTGACACAAAAAGTTTAAACCAGTCAGAATGAGCGAATCAAGACGAACGAAACCTTCGTCTATTGTACATAAAAATGTCAATAACTAAATACACTACAAAAATATCTAAAAATCATTTAACGCATTTTTACATTTTTATTTGAAAAGCTATATTGAATATTCAAGAAAGATATCCAAAATACTCGAATCTATAAAGTGGTTACCAGCTTTTTATTCAAACAAGTCGAAACCCACACAACTCATATATACCATCTGATCAGTAACAATATATGAAGAAAGATTTATAACACAGAGGTTGTTGATAAACCAGTACCACAATGACACCATTAAAATTAAATTAAAATGTCATTAACTGACGCAGGTCACTTATGCCTGGGTCACATTTGCTCCGATCCATCGGCCGGCGTCCGGCCGATTGAGTGTTTTGTCCAATATTGTATTCAATTTTGAACAAAATATTCAATTGCCCGGGCGCCATACCGGAAAAGTTTAGAACCAATTTTCTGATATAAGCATTTGAGAATACATCAAAACACTTTCAATTGATGTAAATTAGACTGTTCTAGCACTTTTTATCGCAAAGATATTGCAGATCTCCTGGTCCAGGGTCAAACAAATAAAAAATGCATATATTGTGCAGTTAAATTCACGAATGTTTTTCTTTTCTGTCAACAATTTGAAAAGTTTAGAAAAATTTTATCATAAAATATCAAAATATCCCCTTGCAAATCTAATAAAATATGTTTTAAGAATAAAAGTGGCCGAAATCAATTTTTATTTTTGACCCCCTCCACCAGTAGACTACAGGTTAGTAGACTGGCAATATCTCAGCGACAAAGTGCTAGAACAATCTAGTTTGCATCAATTGAAAGTGTTTTGATGTATATCCAAACGATTATAACAGGAAAACATTTTGCAATCATTTCCGGCAAATGATAAGCAAAGAAGTGCGAAATAATGTTTTCCATTGAAAAGTGGGCGTCGCCCACAATGTAATCCAATGGGACGGAAAGAATGGCCGACGGACCAGCTTTAACGTTATCCGATTTTGTTGAAAAAAAATCAGTGGAATACTGGCACCATTTGTAACCCCATGTTAAAGGGCCGTTATGATCTGAGAACATTCTTGAAAAATGAAACACCCTATAGAACTCTCCTTACTTTTTGTACCATTGAGATGCCTGTTAAATTGACAAAGTTCAAATTAGAATTTCTCAAATCGCAGCCCATTGAATTTTAAAGTATTTCAGAGAAATACAGCGAAAAATCTCGTCTTCATGTCAAAAAAATTCAACAAAAATATCCCACGAAAATCAAAAGTTCTGCTCTCTTACATATTTGGAGTACCAAAAACGTCATCATATTTATGCACATCGACCAATTCACCACTACCGAGCTCATCCATCCGCAGAAAATAATCCCAAATATTTTACCGATCACACGTTTCCCAGTTATTCTGGGCAAATTAGAGTATTCTATCCAAAGATAGTGCTGTAGTATACCAGTGGAGTTTCAAAACAGGTTTTAAATAGAACTACTTTCCTCATACCACGAAATAAAAAACCTAGTAAGGATAGTACACTCAGTATGCTTTGTACATCGCTGTAGCGTTTGGATGCAGAAGTACCCTTTCGGAATGCTTCGGACTGTTTCGGAATCGTGCGCTTCGGTTCACATTTTTACTTTCTAAATCGCCAGAATTGACAATTTGCCAAATTTGCAAGTACTGTAGTCTAAAGGCTGCGTTTAGTGGATTCGTTTATATGCGAGGAGGTCTTTAAACATTTGATTTCTATTCGCAGAACACTATAATCGTGTATTTCACATGGAAATAATTGTGCCGCTTGAAAGTTCGCCAGGTAATAGTACCAGTCATCTATCAATCCTACCATTACATTCGTTATAAATTGATATTTCAATTTAAAAACAATGGGTCGAACAGTCATGACTTTTTATGAATTTTGTGCAAAAATGCTTTCAAAAATTGGGACGTGATATTTCGTTCTTCTAGTTCCAAGGCTGCTACAAATTTTCCGACGACGTCTCTGGTCAACTGTATTTTTAAGATGTAATATTAAATTTTAGATAAAATGTGCATTCACAAAAGATGTAAAGTTGTTGTTATTCTTTCAATTTTAGAATACGATAATCCTAAGTTATCTTTACGCATAGGCCCAAGCTTTACGTAAATTGGGTTTCAACAAAAAGAGTAGAAGAACTGATAAAATGTTTCATAATAATACACTTTTCAGAATATAATGGTCAACCAACGGACGTGGGGAAAGCTAATATTAATGATATCCATTGGTTTAAGTTTATATTGGCCATTTTTGGGGTGAATGAATCTTACATTTCAGGAAAACAGATGGATCAAAGTTTGATTTAACGTTTGCATTACACATTGATTTTTTAAAATCATTCCATCCTTCGATCAAAAAAGCAAACATTTGAAGCACGGGTCTAAAATTGTTAAGCTATTAGCACATTCTATCAACACATCCAGCTTGTGAGGAAGTGACGTGAAATGTATAAAACCTTAACGTTGGAAGGGGACCCTAGCCTAGGGTTGCGACCAACTAGATGCAATTTAGTTAATTATTTTTAGTAATAGTTAAAGGCAGAATCAGATCTATAGGGGGTGACAAAATTACAAGCAACATGTATAATTGACCTACGAATCTATTCCTTACAATATCAAATACAATATCTCCCAAAAGATTCAAAATATGTTATAAATTGGTGAAGTTATTAATGATTCAAAGTGCAAAAATGGGGTGAAAAATGTTTAAATTCTCCCAAATAATAAGAATGGTAACCATTCTTATAGAAAAAATACATTATTGTTTTCCTGGAATAAAGTATGCACTTCTTTGATTTTTAGAAAATAGACATGACAAGGAATGACATGAGCCAAAAATATTCTAAAATTGAAACAATTTTTTGTTTAGCCTGTTCGCTATATCTGATTCTCTCTTTAAGTTTATTTCATAAGAACAGTGGAACGTACAAAACATGTACACTCGACACCCTTAGTAATTGGGTGTACCAGTGCTATAAATATCAAAATGTGTTGCAGAGCAACCAAAATATACATAATCTATAACATATTATCCCGCATGTCTAGATGTAATACAGAAACCTTCGAAGTCTGGTAGAAATAATGGCATGATTGTTTGATTTTGATTTTAAATCATTCAGATTCTATGTGAAATTTTAAAAGTTTAATCCCACTTCTAAAGGCACAGTTTTCATGCACTTTTTATGCCATTTAGGATAGTCATCAGTTGAAGTCGACTTTGCACCTCTTATATCATGATAAATAACATTTCTTAAGATTAAAACAAATATACTACAAACTTAGACATACGACTCCGTTACTTTTCAAAATGGGTTCCCTGTGGGCTAAACGAACCCAACGGCGAGATGAATCTGGGGATGATACAAATGAGAATGAACAGCACGAGGAAATATTAACATCAGTGGGAGAGTTGAATCTAAGCGAGGATGTGACACCTGGAATTTCAGTCGACAAACCAGATGATTTGGGTAAAACACTAGATGCGCGTAGAAATAATCTTGATTTTCATTTCATGAAATATTCAACATTTAGTTAAAGGGATATCATATATCGTAAAATTGCAGAAATGTGGTTTAAAAAAGTATTTACCACCTTTGAAAATCTTATCTTTCTTGAAAATGTGAATTCTAGGTCGGGGAGATTCCCCATTTACAAAATCACATAAAATGAAATATATTTTCTTGTGTTGGGCAGATAACATTTTCTTTTACTGGACACATTTTCATTTTTATAATTATCAAACACATGAGGATTATATGAAAATGTATCCACTTAAACTGAAGTTTAAGGGAACGTTCTTATATTCCTGCCATGTTAATTAACCCGAATCAGCCACCTGATGGTGAAATTGGTAACTACCTACTCGCATCCTAGTAATTAAAATCCAGCGTTTCATTCAACATACATGAACTTTACAGACAAAAATTAAGATGCCAAATATTACAGTTCATGGCCATTAAACATCCTGTACTTGTCCTTTAAATTATATGATTTATATTCCTTGGAGTCATGCATGCATCTCACTGCAGTATATCAAAATTATATAACGGGTCAAACTATTGCGTCTTTCTGCTTTAGTCCACCGTGATATATCCAAAAGCAGAGATCGATATTTGCAAAGAGCACAAGTACGAAGAAATGCCAAGGAAAAGTCCAGACCAGATATTCCGAAAGGCATTGGAGGTGAGAAGCAACCATATAATTAACCTTGCCACGAAAAATTGACAAACGAATTATATCTTCCTTAATCTGTTAGTCCACGAACCTTTCTCCATTGTAAATGAATATGTGGATAAAGAAATACACTGCAGTGGCATCTAAAATTAACTAAATAAATTCACATATTTTGGAAGCATATTTTTGAATATTATGTAAGAAATATATCTATATTCTACAGTAAGTACTTGGCAGTAAGTAAAGTGGCAATTAGCTTTGAATTCAAACACAAAACCAAAACTCAAAGAAATCATACCTCCTGAGCAGTAAAAAATATGAAGATATATCACTGGGGTTGTTCCAACTTAGTTGTTGATAGACCAGATATCACAGTGGTACTATCAAAATTAAGATCTATAAAAATGTCATTACAACTGTAGCAGGTCACTAGGCGAGTCATCTTACTTGCAAAGCAATGACATACATTTTGTAATGATAACGTGACCTTTATCACAGTTCAAGTGACTTAAGTAGATCTCCCCACCTTGATTTATAGCAAAAAGGCTGCCTTTTGCACTTTGGTCACATTGTGTCTATTTAAAGAGATCTATACCTTAAAGCTTGTCAGTTAAAAAACATAGACTTGACATCGAGAAGGATTGGCTCCCGGAATCGAAACTCGATATTTTCCAACAATTGACACGTCAAAATGTCGTTATTTTCTGAAATTAAAACCGACTATAAATTCAAAGGTCCAAAGATTCGAACCAATATCTCGATCAATTCTTGTGAGTTTTGGAATTTTTCATAAGGAAATAAGACCGAAATTGACGATTCAAATGTTGAAGTGAGCAAAATGGCGGCCGCTTGAATTCAAATTTTGTATCAAGACATGCCCATATATGGGACAGAATATCGATATTGCACTCTGGGAGCCAATCCTCCTTGACGTAACATATTTTACCATACCGTGCACCAATTCATTTAGCAATCTATAAGTAAAGTTTCTCATGGAGTAAATCTTGCAGGTTTGTGAATTTTCCACCAGAAATAGTATAACCCCCCTCCACTCATTTTGTCCGTTTTGCGGTTTTGCGGGCGTGTTTCTTTAGATCAAGACAAATCCAAAGAAGTGTAATTTATTTTAGATATGAACATTTAGCACAAACGTGTTTACAATGGGTGCATTCTCCGTATTCTAATTTTAATGAAAGTGTCCTTGATCGTATCGTCTTGTCTTGATTTAAAAATAATTGATTTTCATTGTTTTCTGAAATCCAAAGCCATTTATTCTCCTGGTTCTCTAGCTTGGAGTAGGGGGCTCATGAATGTCCGACGTTTTTTCCATTTACTTGGCTGCATCGGTCACAACAGAGATATACTTTGTATGTGTCATAGTTCAGCGTCGATTATTTTCAAAAATGAGGACGTTCCCCTTTTCGATTCTAAGTCTGGACATTGTGCATCTTTTTTTTTATCTCACCGTAGATTGTATAGTAGGGATATATATTACCCGTTCGTCCGTCTACTCGTTTGTTTGGACCATAATTTGGTTGAACAGTGCAGATGTTAATTCCATAATTCACAACATGTTATTTTTGGAATTATTAGAAATATAAATAACTTCTTAAGGGATTAGTTTAACCATTTGATTCGAGTTTTATTCGATTTGTGTAAAATGTTGTTTCAAAAGAATATTTCTTATTCTAGAGACATCAGACTACATGTACAGCCTGGGACAAAATATAGCGAAATTAGGGAAAGTGAAGAAAAAGAACAACGAACAGCTGGAAAACCAGGCGAGAGACATGTGCAAGTTGGCTGAAGAATACCTCAAACTCACGGAGGAATCCCCAGAAGCCTGGTACTTTGTAAAGGCATGCTGCCTATTTAATACTGCCTCGAGGAGATACGAGGAGATCCAACAAAACAAGGGCTCTGACAATATTTCAGGCACATGTAGTCATGAAATGTACATTAAAGAAAGACTTCAGTACATTGAGACTGAATTCTTGAAAAGAGTGCCGGACACACCCAAGGTTTACAATAAGAGTACATCAGAGAGTACTGCTAAGTTTAGGTCACTTATAAATGAAGTGCGCAAATATGAAACAGACACGATCAACCATATTCAAAACAATGTGATGAAAATAGATCTGTCTACAACAGCAGATATGAGTGAAGATGCTGAAATCCAAACAATTGAACAGAGTAATATATTTTACAACGAGGTCACTGATAAGATCAAAGTCTTTCATTGGTCAGTTATCGAAGATTGTATGAAGGTTTTAGGTGTCCCTCAATGTCGTTATGCAATCTTAGGTCATGGGTCTCTGGCCCGGAAAGAAGCAACAGCTTGGTCAGATTTAGAGTTCTCTGTACTGTATGATCCCAACGGTAAATCTGAAGAACAAATCGAAGGTATTAAAGCATATTTTAGAGTACTTGCCCACTATATTCATATCAAAATCATCAATCTAGGTGAAACACTCCCATATTGCCTCAGTATTCCAGTTCTGAATGACCATAATAAGCTTTTGGGGGAAATAGATAACAATTTCTTTGATGACATTACCCCCCAGGGCATTTCCTTTGATGGCGCATCTCCATGGGCAAGTAAGACCCCACTGGGTCGCAAAGCAACTGCGAAGAAACCAATACCAGTTGAATTAATAATGACTCCCTCAGAGATGGCTAAATGCCAAGAAGAGGAAAAGTCAAAGACTGAGGGGTATCATCTAAGTGATGTCCTTCAATCTAAGACCCTTATACATGGAGATGTAGGACTAGTATGTGAGTACACGTCATTGGTAAATGAAATACTAAAGTCACAACTAAAGGAATCTACTTTAGCTTATAAACGAGGAGTAGAAACCCTCAAGGAAGATCTCGATAATTTCTCTAAACAACCCTTTACTCCAGCATCTCTCACATCCCAAATACACACTAAAAAGGACATCTACAGGTTTGCCACCATATCTGTCAATTCATTGAAATTGATATACGGGTGCGAATCAGATGCACCTCTTGATGTTCTAAGTGAACTCGAAATTAGGAAAATAATTGAACAAAATGCTTGCAGAGATCTCAAACTCATGGTCTGCATTGCTATAAACCTCCGCCACCTGGTCTACAGCAGATACAACAGACAGTTGGATGATATATGCTTTACCAGAAGACTAGATGACAAAGACCAATCAAAGTCATTGTCAGTACGTGACTATTGCGCAATATTTCGCTTTTATTACACCTTTAAACCGTGGTCAGAGTTCCTTCAGGTTGTGTGCAAATTGGGAAATAAAGTTTGGAACTGGAAGAAAAGATTTTTTGAAAATACCGACACTATTAAGGGGGAGATATTTCAAAACATGAATATTTTTGAAAGTGCAATCAAAGTTTTTCAGAATGAACATGATACATTCCAATATAAAGGTTCTTCGAAACAGCTGAGTGATACAAAGTATGCATTAGGAGATTTATATTACAGAATAGGAAAATATAATATTGCTAGAAAGTACATTGAAGATAGTCTCAATATTAGAAAATTAGTCAATGGGGATTATCCAAATCGAAATGTAGCTTCTTCTTTACACCAGCTCGGTGTAGTCTACCAGGCTATGGGTGATAACACTAAAGCTCTTGAGTATTTCACTGAGAGTCGAGAGATGAAGAAACAGGTACACGGCGATGCTCCACATCCAAGTGTAGCTGCTTCTTTACACCAGCTCGGTGTAGTCTACCAGGATATGGGTGATAACACTAAAGCTCTTGAGTATTTCACTGAGAGTCTAGAGATGGATAAGCAGGTACACGGTGATGCTCCACATCCAAGTGTAGCTGCTTCTTTACACCAGCTCGGTGTAGTCTACCGGGCTATGGGTGATAACACTAAAGCTCTCGAGTATTTCACTGAGAGTCTAGAGATGAAGAAACAGGTACACGGCGATGCTCCACATCCAAGTGTAGCTGCTTCTTTACACCAGCTCGGTGTAGTCTACCAGGATATGGGTGATAACACTAAAGCTCTTGAGTATTTCACTGAGAGTCTAGAGATGAAGAAACAGGTACACGGCGATGCTCCACATCCAAATGTAGCTGCTTCTTTACACCAGCTCGGTGTAGTCTACCAGGATATGGGTGATAACACTAAAGCTCTTGAGTATTTCACTGAGAGTCAAGAGATGAAGAAACAGGTACACGGCGATGCTCCACATCCAAGTGTAGCTGCTTCTTTACACCAGCTCGGTGTAGTCTACCAGGATATGGGTGATAACACTAAAGCTCTTGAGTATTTCACTGAGAGTCAAGAGATGAAGAAACAGGTACACGGCGATGCTCCACATCCAAGTGTAGCTGCTTCTTTACACCAGCTCGGTGTAGTCTACTATTACCAATATGATTACAAGAGATCGTTAGAACATTTCAATAAGTCACATAGGATGAAGATGAGAGTGTTGAATGATGAAACTCATCCCAGTATTGTAAACACTGCAGGCTGGATCGAAGATTGTAAACAGAAAGTAACAAAATAGGCTTCTTAAACATTTAAAACAGGATCTTATTATTTTAGATATAATTTAAATGAAATACATGAATAAAATGCGTTTCACTGCATGGAATATATCAATATTGATATCAAATATTTTCAACGCAATACGTGATGTTGGCCACTTGCTCTTGGTGGATCCAGGGAGAGTTGCCTTGGGTAGCTAGGTCCAGAAAAGAAATTCGACCGGCCCCCAAAAAAACTTCAAATAACTCCAAATATTTTGAAGAGCCTCAATTAGTAGGCCTTTTTGAGCATAAAATGGGCCTCAGATTCGATTCAGTTAGTTTAGGGAACAATAAAGTATTGATATTTGATTGAGACCAATTTTGAGAAAGATATGTACACACAAATGTGTAATGAAATGTGATTTGTGTGTAAATGTGTAATGATTAAATCAGTTTGTATGCGGCGTACACAAATATAGAAGTATTCATTGATTTTCAACTGCATTGAATTTTGTATTCATATGTCAACCATCTCGTCATGTCATGTTGAATGAAAAACGATTTTGTTTCCCAAGTTAATTAGTACTATGTATTTCTAATTTATTTATAATCAGCAGATAACGTAGGAATAAATTATAAAATATATGTATCAGCCAGAAAGCAAGCGTTTCACTCGTGTACATGTTCTAACTATGTTGTGGGTTAATGTGAGGGTCGTATCAGTTGTTTTTATGGTGATTGGGAGAGACATTATTCTGGACAGATTCAGTTTATTGATCCTGACAGAAATTGTCCTCTGAATAAGGGTTAAGACATCATCATCCTCTTCTCTTGTATAATGATGTCTGGACCCAGTTTTTTAAATAAAAATAAAGCACATTGAAAAGTGTTGTATTATATGTGTGAATTTATTCATAAAAATTATCGTTCAACAAATCAAACAAAATTAACAATAAATTATCGTGTTATGTGCATTTGGAGAAAATAACAATGACGATAAGTATATATGTTTTATAATGATATTTACAATCCTGAGAAAAATATTTACAATTTATATCATAACAGCATTGTATACAATTAAATTTGGCTAAACAATTCTCACATTGCTGATCATAAAACAATTCTCATGTTTTAGATCATGCACATTCCTCAAAATACCCATAATGAAAACCTCATATTTTAGATCATAGGCATTATCAATTATCAAATCCATAGAAGGTGAGTCACAGCTTTGACAATATTGTTGTAATATTAATTGTGACGTTTTTAGGAAAAAAGAATGTGCCCCGGGTACCATGCACCATGCAAGTTAGGACATGCATAACTTTTTTGTTACAAGTCATTGTCTTTTCAAATTATATGTACATTGATCAGAAAATTCCAAAAGATAACACTGATGAAATTTCAGCCTTTATTGATAAAAAACTCTTGGTCTTGTAACAATTAGTTCAGGACTTATGGGACAACCCTTGTATTTGGCTTCTTGGGCCTTTTAAGCCAAATTATCAAAAGTGGGCTTGTTGGCTTGCTTTATGATGTCATTTCTATAGGCAAAAATGTTTGTTAGAAATTTTGAAAACTAGCAATACATTATTGCAGCATTTAAATCATATATCTATTTCCGAATCGTTAAGAATGACATCATAACAAAAGATGGCATGAAGTGCGGAAGTACTATGTATGAGAAAAGTCCGAAGTTTTAAACTCCAAAAATCATCACAACGGCGTAGCAAGGCTCTAAAATAGACTTTATAAATTTAAATTGGCGAAGGTTTGAGTAAGATGAAATTATATTACCATTATCATTGTCACGAGAAAAATCAAATATTTTCCTGTAATATATAGACGCAGTTGCCTCGCATACGTCATGCCTGACTACGCCCATGATATACAAGAAATACAAAATGTATAATATGTACAGGTATACATGTACACTATATAGTACAAGAAAGTATAATCAAAACTTACGTAAAACACATAAAACACACAATTAGTACTTATGAAATCTCAAAGTAATTAATTACAATAAAGCAGATGAATATAATGTCAGATCTTAACTATTGCAGTTCTACAATAAAAAAGATCACATCAACAATAAAACTCACAATCTACAATCTACATAATAGTAACAATGAACCTGCTTATCAATCTGCATAGAAAATGTGAATTTCATATTTATTTTGTACATTTATACCTTTAATTGTGTTATGCTACAATATATACATCCACTACCAATCCTACACTCCTATCACTTGTTGTTTGTTATGCCTCAGTCATATTTGCTTTACGGCGGCCGTACACGTACGATGGCCGTACCGCTTCAAATATCGATATAGAAAGTGTGCATCGTACTATAAATTATCCATGTAACTGTACCGCGTATTTCTTTCTATTTTGGAAAGCTACGGTAACCATAAATCAAATGTGACTATGGTATTAATTTCGCATAATTACAATGATATTCCAACAGTTCAACCACTATTACATACTGTTGAGAATTTGATTATCCCATCGGATACCCTGGTGAGAATCTGTTTGCTGGGGATGCATTTCTATAATCATTAAAAAAAATTGAATTAATAAATCCGATCCATTGTTTGACCTTTGAACAAAATATTGATATATTTTGACAAAACAAATAAAATTATTATGCTCGTTGGGAATATCACTGCGTTATAAACTTCCTCACAACCCGCCATTTTTCATTTGATTTTTTGATTCCACCATAGTTGCATACTCGCATACCAGTTTGATTTGATTTTCACATTTGAGCTTCACGTCTTTATGGTTCTATATATTTTTTAGCAATCATCATTCTTTTACCGATGTACAGGGTGTTTAGAGTCTTCCCCCACCAACCACCAATCCTAAATAGCATACCCCATATGTTATATTAAATCATATGAAAGTTTTACCCCATATGTTATATATCATATGAAAGTTTCTTCAATTTGTCCAATTTTTGACTTTTTGGAACACAGTTTTCAAAGCTCGTTACATATCTCCACAAACGGTACCATGCTAATATGGGGGGAGTCCTTTGGGAAGTCTAGAATTGAATAAGCTTTAAAATGGTATACATGGGGCCATGTGACCTAAATGTGACTGTGGGTTGGGAAGACGACCATTATGAAACACCCTGTATACCCCTGTAGTATAGATCATGATCATTGTAAACATGGTTACTAAAGTCACAATTAATGTAGTCATGGTTACTATGGTCACGGTCATAGTCTTCTCGCCTTTAAATTGTTCAGTTTTTCCACATATTATTTTTGCATGACTTCAAAATCATTTGACAAAAATATCTCTTCAGGAATGCATTCATCAAAATTCCAAACATTCATATCTCAATGTGATCGTGATTGTGGTCACTGACAATGAAATCATTGCCATATTGTTCATGCCCAATGAAATCATTGCCAATGCCCACTGTAATCATTGCCATATTGTTCATGCCCAATGTAATCATTGCCATACTGTCCATGTCCACTGTAATCATTGCCATATTGTTCATGTCCATTGCAATTATTGTCATTTTGTTCATGGCAACTGTGACCATGGCCATTTTCTCATATAGTTATCGTGATCATGTTCGGTGTAATCATGTGTATTGTGATCATTCTTAATTAGTCCTCTGGTTTCCTTTTTAATAGTTTCAAAACTTTTCCTTGTAATGACCACCTTCTTTTTGCACCACCATTCAAATAAGAGAAGTCTATTTCTTAAGCAAAATAGGTTCCCTTTACTTTACGTTAGTGTTTCCTCCCTTGACTTTACCTTTTCCACACTATATAAAGTGCCTCCATAGGATCACACAGTTTCCTCTATTGCTCCACTCACAGATTCTCGTTTTGTTAAACTTTTTGTTTCCGTGTTACTTGAATCATTCAGCATTGCCTCCGCAGCCTTACGTTCGTTTGCTACAAAAATACTTTTTACTATACACAACGTTATATTGTTAGACAACAACAGTAAAACTTGCTCATTGAAAACTTTTGGACTGGCTCTGAATGCTCACAGTGAGAGGTGGATGGCCAGTCATTGTTTAGCCATCCTCCGATCACAGGACTTCAAAATCCAGAATATATTTTACGGAAGAAGGAGGTACGGATTCTAGACACCTGCTTAGGAGGATCCTGTTTAGGCCTAGCTTACTACTGTTTACACCAACCATTAAAGGGTATAGTATTGTATACGTATGTAACCAATGGGAATATCAAATTTAATTGCCATAAATCTATGTGGTGATTGAATACATGAACATCTCATCGAAACAGTTTGGATTTTGATTTTAGATGAACGTTGTCAGTTTTGAAATCCATCCATGTCGTAATATCAGATGTTTAACAGAATAATACATGAATGTTAATATACCGGATGACAAATTAACTTTTAATTCCAATCATCTCTGATCAACCTCTAAACGTACTTACATTTTCGCCTAGCTTTGAGTTTACTCTGAATCTTGCTGCATATTGCAATGATGGTTAATGCCAAGAGTCCCACAATTGCAGCTATGGAGATGAGCCATGATGCCGAGAACTCCATCGGTCCTTCTTCTAAAGCAGTCATATTCCCTGACAGTTCTGAAAAGTTTTTATTAACATTTCTTACACATTTTTCATATTTTTTAAATAACAAGTTTTTTAAAATTGCTATATTCAATATCAATTTTAATTAGAAGCTCAGCCGAAGGTGAAATCTCAAATCTAAGGCCATATATGAACTCTAGGCAACTTGCGGACGTTGTTTAAAAATATCTGTTCAATTTGAAGGAAGTTGAAAGTTGACCTTGAAAATTTTCGAAATTTGACCTTTTTCTTATATCTTAAAATTGTTGCAAAATTTTAATAGATAGTCAATTGCTAGTATGTGGAGTGGACGTAGAACCTTTAGAAGAATACAGACTTTCAATCAAAAATATTGATTCATAGTCTCGAACTTTGAGAAACTAAACACTATTTGTAATTTAGTTCTGATGACCTTAACCTTTGACCTCGCAAATGTTTTAGGCCTCAGTACATGTAGGTCTTAAGTGACTAAAATATTTCGAAAATCGTGATTTTCCGAGTTGACAAACTCAGAGAGTCTTAAACATGTTGTTGATTGTACATCCGGTTACAGAACCATTAGATGTGTGTGTACATATATTTCTATGTCCTACCCCATGCATATGAGCAGTTAAATTCATCGGAGGTATATGACGTCACCTCTAGGCAGTTTCGCATTCCGTCACATTGCAGGTTTTTATCGATGCATATTTCTTTGGAGCAGCTAAACGAAGAACTTCCATTGCATTGTTCTAAAAATAGAAATAACAGTGAGGATGATTCGCAATACTGATGCAGCATTAAGGCTGGTACAGCACCTTTAAATGTGTGAAAGTGTCAACAACTGAAATTAATATGTTACAAATACATTCTGTAAATGTGAAGGAGTAGTAACCCCAAATATTTTCTATATTTATAGGAAACAAACAGCAAACTGACTCCAAAATTTTTTTTTCCTAAAAATATTAGGAAACCTACTGTCACAGCAGCAGAGAAGTTTATCGTGTGCGACATTCTAAATATGACGCTATTCGACCAGCCACTTTGAATGGCAGTGGATCGACATGCCTTTTTGATTAAATAAGTAAATATATTAGGTAAAGCAGGATAAAATGGCTTTAACCTTCATTTAAATTACCTTAACTTAAATTACAATATTTTGCCTGGACTGCAAATGGCGTCCTCCTTATATCATGTCAAATATTGAGATAATGTAAAAACCAAATTAAAGCATAAAAAATACTCACAGGGAAATCAATAAAAAATGGGGATGAAAAAGTCATTATTCAGATAATATCCAAAATAATTTCATCTCATCCATTATAAAGCAATGATTTATAACCAAGTGATGTTAATATTTTCAGTGTAGATCAATATAAAAACTCTCTCGTGACTACTTATTAAGGATTATAACAGGCCTCTGTCGAGTAACCAAAACTGGCAGGTTTTGCAGCGGCCCAACTCATATGTGCTTGACCTTATTAGATTCCATTTTGGATGACCTTGACCTTTTTACCTATTTCAGCTTTTAATGTCTGTAAAATTCATTCAGGTGACAACATATTAACAATGAAATACTCATTCATGCACTTGTTTGCATATAACATTTATGGCAATCATTGAAGTGTAGCATGAAAACTTAAAACCTTTGACTTGACACTAAATGTGGCCTTGACCTTGATGTAAATACTTTTCTGACTTTTTAAGGTCTTATTCCACCTTGCAAAGGTCAAGTTTTAGATAGATAAAAGGTCAAACATGAATTTCAGAAACCCCGTGGATTATTTTGGTCAAATCAGAGAAGCAGGACTAACGAACAGACAGTCTATAGCCCTAAATCAAGTAATATCACCTTTCATAAGTGATTTTAAATTAGGTTTAACACAGGACTATACACGGGGGTAAAGCAGACCCGATGATGCAATGAGGTTGCTCGGCGGTATCATGACTGTGTAACGGATCTTAATGTGCTCATGTGCTCATGGTGTATTCGTGTTTTAACACCCGTGACTATAGTGATTATCATGCCGTTCAATTTCACAAACCAAATGCACTATTATTAGGAGCGAACTGACAGGCCAATTATCTTGCAGTTATATTTCACCAAATATATATTTTACGATCAAATCATTAATAACTCCATCAATAAATTGCATTTTCTCACTACGTTTCTCTCTCTAAAATACCATTACTTGCATAAATGTTCGAAGACCTCACTATTTCCTCTGGTGTGTTTCACACAGCTTTTACATTTCCTTCTTAGCTGTTTAGTAGTTGGACGTTTTTAATTGTGCTCTGGTCTTTCACTCATTTGCTCTTAGAATTACAGTATATTATGTATTTCTGTTTCAAAATTAATCACGCCAATTACTCCATACGAAGGGGCAATTACCTTACATGGATCTTCATGATGACCCTAAGCAAGATAGATGAGGTAATCCAGCGCTTTAAATAGTCAAACCAATTGACCGATATATGATATGAAGAAGTCTGTATTGAACAGAATTGCCACGGCTTTGGAATATTGCAATTGACTGTAATTTTCTGTTTCCTAATAATGACAGTTTTTGATATATTGGCTTACTAATTGTAATAAACATGTTCAAGCATTTCCGTACAGGGTGTCCATAAATCTCTTTACACGTTGCACAAACTTTGAATTGAAATGAAAAGAAACTTAACATGGAGATTTTGTATTGCATAGTGCACCCAGAGCATTAATCAAGCTTTTAATCAATCGGGTGCTGCACCCTTTTGAGAATTCCAAAATGTCTTTTGCACTCATTTGAACATCTATTTATGCGAGGAAGAACCCCTTCGGTGAAGATTCTATGTCGGTTGTTTTATCACTATCTTAAGAAATTATGATATCCCTGTGAGGTCCATATTCATTACAAGTATATATGATGAGTAAAATACACTACACAGTTAGAATATATACTAGATAGGATTCTGAAAACTGTTGAGAAAGAATCTGTGAAGATAATTCAGAATATAGATGGCGCAAGACTAGCATCCTCTGAACACAGGCCTCCAGCATCTCCGGAACTTTAGGTACGAATTCTGGAGGCCTCTGTTTGGATGATGGACTCTCAGATGCAAAAGGGAGGAACTAGACAATGAGAGTGCCTTGTACATTCAAGCAGCCGACATCTGAAAAATGACTATAACATTTTAAAAATTGGTTTACTGAATCACTATTACCAACGTGTATCAAAAATGGCTGACGAAGTAAACTAATGTAACTAATATTTTTGCAGAGAATCATAATAAGATTCTTGTTCTAATAACTGAAATAACTTTAAAATCGGCTTTAAATAGATGCACTTTCGAAAAGAGAAATATAGTCGTTCGAGTATATATCATCAAGGCATATGTTCCAAACATATGAGGAGGGGGACCCCAGGGCTCAGAAATGACATCGTCGCTGATTGGTCAAATCGACAGACAAATTACGTAGTTCAATGGCGGTTTCAATTTTTTTAAAACGCTTCGAATCATTCTATGATAATATCTGGGGTTTTAACCAACATTATATCTTGTTATTTCACATCAGTATAGAGAGAGATATAGGGAATATGTTAACATCGATTAAATTATCACAACGACGTGTGGTATTCGGAAACTAGCCGGGGGAAATTCGAACAAACAAAGGTGTTAAGCAAGAGGCGTACTTATGTCTTGAATCTCTAGGGTTCTCCCTCCTCTTAAACATAATGAAGGTGAAAAAGAAGATGAGAGTCATCAAGGTAACTTTATTCACAAATAGGAGAGGTTAAAAACAAATGAAATAGGAAAATGAGACAAATCGTATACTTTTCCCGAGAGAATAATAATCAGAGGTATTCGCAAATATTAGCTCATTATACCGTGAGACAATAGCAGAGAATTAGAGAGGTTGAAAAAGCAAATGGATCTGGAACGAGTAGATATGGACAATAAACGACATATTATTCAATATACATTTCCCAGGGTGATAATTACTATATAATAGATGTATAAATTTGAAGGACATCACCATATTGTACCAATTATAAGTACTTTCACTGCAGGATCTGCGGAGAATGGAACAATATATGTATGCCTATAGATAGGTCATATCATCCATTAATAACGCAGATGTGAGTAGGTAGTTACCAGTTTCACCACCAGGTGGCTCGTTCGGGTCAGATAGCATGGCGGGTATAGTAGAAAGTTCCCTTTAACTTAAATTACATCTGTTTAAGTGGTTCAATTTTCATATCACCCTTATGTATCTAATAGTTATGCAAATTAAAATATGTCCAGTAAAAGAAAATGTTTTCTGCCCCATACAAAAAAGATATTTAACTTTTTGTGATTTTGTAACATTGGGTCTATGGGGAATCAACCCGAACAAGAAGTCGCATTTTCAAAAGAAATTAAATTTTCAAAGTTGATAAACAATTTTCGAAACCATCTTTCTAGATGTACTTTTACATGTAGATTTCAAATATGACATCACTTTGACTGAATTTTGAATATTTAATGACGTAAATCAAGATTATTTCTACTCGCATCTAGTCTATTTGAGGCAATTTTGGGAACCTCTAAATGTCAAAATACAGATGTCATTTAAAAAAAAAATATTACTTATAAAATGATACTAGTATAGCATTCCGTTTTCTCTTCATCCTGAGCAATTAGTTATAACCAAGCGATCTATAACATTTTGTAAAACATTTTAATCGGAATGATGTTCTCCCATCCAAATTATTAGTACAAGCTCCAGTTGAAAGATTCAATTCTGATTGGTTAAGAAGCGGTCGATAATTTTAACAGTTGACCGTACAATGCATTCCCGTTCAATTTGTTTGACGATGACATCACAGTACCTGCGGTCACGGCTAACAGTTGTGGAATATAATTTTCACAAACAACTTCTCGATGGGTCAATAGTCAAACCTCACTCCCCCCCCCCTCAATAATTTTGGCAACCGGAAGTCCAATTTCGATCATGTATCAAGACCTGTTTATGTTGGGCGATTCAGAAAAAGTTTTCAAAATTATCACATCGAAATGTTGTAATTAAGGAACGAAATAAGTTTCAAACATTGCAAGGTTATATATCAAAAACCCAGGATGAAAACCTCCGAATACCGAAAATGAACAGGGTGTACACTACATTACCTAAGGGGGGAGAAACCCCGGGGTTCAAAGATGACATACGCTTATAATGTAAATCTGTATTGAGATGACATCGTCGCTGATTGGTTTAGCGAGTCGATCGTTGATTGGTTTAAAACTAGGTCAATTTGAAAACTTTGAAAACCAAGATGGAGGGTAAACAAATATACGTACTTCCGGGAAAGGAGGTGCGCGAATGAGGAAATCGTATGTCATCAATTGAATCATGGGGTTTTCCACCTCTTGCATTACCTCGACTCGAAGTGTAGGCAGTTAGGTGAAAACTGAATCCTTGATCTTCACTTCTCCGTCTCCCAGTTCTCCATAGTACTGTTAGAGACATATTTGGCTGACTGTTTATCACGTGACTCTTGTCGAGTCCCTTGAGGTCTCCACAATAGCGATATAACAACTGAAAATAAAAGAAACAAAAGGCATCGCTAGTTAACGCGTAATTGATGTCAAAAACAATGGATCCTTTAAAATGATATGTTACCATGGTTTTATGTTTTGATCGCTAGATAAGCACTTGTGAAATATCGCAATACTTGTTTTTTGCGATCATTGCAAAGAGGATTGGCTCCCAAAATCAAAGCTCGATATTTTCGGACAATGAAAACGTCGAGATGTCGTTATTTTCTGAAATTATGAACCGACTGTAAATTCAAAATAAGCAGTCCTAAAGATTCGAACTTATATCTTGATCATTTTTGAGTTTTTGAATTTTTCGTTCAGAAATAAGACCAAAATTCAAGATTCAAATATTGAAGTGAACAAAATGGCGGCTGTTTGAATTCGAATTTTGAATCGCGACATCTGCATATATGGGACAGAATATCGATGCACTCTGGGATCAAATCCTCCTTGCGATCGTTAATTACTCTTCGCTAAATATGTTGCAAATGTATTCTTTAGACCCCCAATTCGTTTTTTGAAAATCTGAAAACATCATCTCACTAACCATGTCCCAAATAGTCCCTGCCTTGAAAAACAGGCCCATATTTTTGAAATAGGACCCAGTTATGAGAAATAGGCCATTTAATATCTCTGTGCACTAGAAGAATCTAATATTACACATTCTGTGTTATTATTGATTTCTCAGGGATGATTTAGTCTAAATTAGGTGAGTTACTTTAAGGTCTATTAAACTCGATAACGTTGTATCTTTCAGTGGAATAGATGCACTGTAATTTCATTAGAACATTTGAACGTGGGGTTAAAACGTCGATATATCTCACTTATTTCAGCAAGAAACACTTTCGGTTGAGAGACTCTCGCGCGCTATGATCACCAATACATTATTGTTAATTAGATTGTTTGACCTGATTAATCTCTAACAATCGTTTTTCTAGGACGGTACGCTAGTCTGATTTCGGTTAGCATCAAATTCTTGAAAAAATAATATACACTTATAACCTATATAAACATCAAGCAAATAGATGCTTAGAATACAGAATTCATAATGTACATATTATATTCTTCCTTACCTTATGAATAATTACAATAATCCTTAGCAATTACCAATCCTTAAAAAACTTGAAATCATTGATGAAAATTGAACGGACACGAGGCTAAACTAATTTGTTATGAAACTAAAAACATATTCCCGATGACCATAAAATGATATAATCCTTCCACAAATTATGAGAGGCAATGCTGGGCAATAATACTATTTTCTAAAAGCATTTTTCTTATTTTGATGAATGTGAAATCGATGCATGTACAGTATTTATATTATGTTTCCATATAAATGGAAAATAGATGGCATCATGGGTATTGGTAGGGCTAGAATACATGAAAGTGTAATGCCAGAGTCACTTAATTGTTTGATTTTAGAAGTAATTCCATTTGGATAAACTTAAAACACCATTGGAATGTAACTATATGATCTTATTGACACGTGGATTGTGATTTCACATTAAAATTATGATCCTTGTAAGAGTAAATGAACCTTTAAAGGTTTTTCAGCATTGTGTCAATGCGGATTTAGCCCGATCTTTTTTAAACAACTCGAAAGTCATTCGATTTTGAATAAAGGCAAATAACAGACGGTGCAAATCAAAGTTGTATTGGTAGAAAATTACACAGTGAATTGCAATATGCCATCACATGGAAGAAAAAATTCAGATCTCCTAAAATCTCATTAAAAACGAGACTTTAACAAGATTTCAAAGCTATATTGAAAAAGGACCATTCAGGCAACATTTTTGAAATTGTCCTATTTAGTTCCATTTCTCCCCTAAAATAGTATTCGATTCCAATAGGAAAATATGCAGATTTTGAAAGCCAAAATATGTTGTAATTAGTTGAGCTTACAATTAAGGAACAGCAAAAAAGTCATATGCCCAGATCTATAAATATAAATCAACCTGGTCATTCGAATGATGAAAAAACCATATAGACATGATTACTTTTTCGATAGGGGCTAAAAGGCTCATAAAGTCTGATTATTTAGTTATTAAAGGAGCACGAGGGGGCCTCTGGGATTTTGAAGGATATATAAATGCAGTATTTCATTAGAACAAAGTAAGGTGCATGTTAATTTCTTAAAAGTATCTCATCAGTCATCTCGTTCTCTTGATTTTCCGTTGCCATATTGCATTTTAGATTAATTAGGTCAGTTTAATAATGAAACATGCCCTTTCCCGGGGGGAGGGGTCACTGTTTTCAAAATTTGGCGGGTTCCTAGGCTGGACTCTCAGATATGAATATGGTCCCATACCAATCTGTCAAATTTCCATGTGTTCCCATACCAACCAAAATAACGCCAAAAGCTATACCAAATGTCCAAATATAGGACAATGCCATACCACAGGGGAAAAAGTAATATTCAAACTGAAGAAGCCCCGAGAAAAAGTTAGATCTTTGAGAAAAACAATTCAAACAACCTCAAATCAAAGATTTGTGTAACTACGAGACCAATGCCATACCACAAGTATGAGGTCACATAATTTTCAGGACCACTCTCATACCAGAAAGTTGGAAATCCGACCATTGCCATATATCTCAAGTCATAATTCCGGGCGCATTCTTATACCAGATCCTAAAATTTGGGTCCATTGCCATACCAAATGTCAAAAAGGTACCCCATGTGCGCCGAGGATCCCCGTCAAGGACACAGTGAACCCCACGGGGACCCTTTGCATCCGTTCGACTTCGCTTCTATAAAGAGAGTTTCGTAGTCTATAGCTATACTACACGCAGGGTAATGGAACACAAAGGTTACATTGAAATGATTAAACAAACCAAACATGTAAAAATCAATTTCCAAGATATTCGTTCAATGCTATTGTGCCCATCTATCTTCTGGATTTTCCATTTCCCGGGATTTTGAGCCAGTTCTTTATAAAACAAGAAACGTTATATGTGTAGATTTCTTCAATGATCAAAAAAATTAACTCCCATTAAAATCAAATACACATAATAAAATGCGACATTGTATGTTATCATTGAGTGTCTTACTCGTAGTAAGATAATTAACATTGCATTGACGTCACACCTTTTCTTGTCATACAAATGTAAAATATTGTCGTATAAACATATTTACCTTATTTTTACAATGATCCTGGAAATTTGGCACTTGAGTCTCGCATATCGTTAAATAATCCTCACACCCGTGGCTCGTTTTTGGGACATCAAATTGCTTGAACTCTAGTTGGAATTGTTGACCTTCCTCTGCTGGCTGCAAGTAAAATTTAGTACCTATCTAAAAACTTTCAAAAACTACGATGATTTAGTACCAACTTATAAATGATCTTTACCTGGCTTTTATGAATTAATAATACTTTTCTAACGGAAAGATTTAGTGATGATTTAGCACTAATGTGTACGAAGATCTGGTAATCTATGGTACTAATATTTATAAAAATTTTGTGCCAATAGAGGAGTTTCTAAAATGCTCTGAAATCTCGCCAATTCTCGTTTTTTTCACAAGATTTAAAGAGATTTGCACGTTTTACCTCTAATGACTTACTTTTCTTTATTTTTGATAGCATGTTTGAATTCAGTGACAAGCTAAGTTTTCTCCAATAATAACTTTGCTTTTCACAGTTATATCATTAAATCATTTTCCATGACATTTTAAAAAACTTGGGCCAAATCACCTTTGGTGCAATGCTACAATTCATTAAAACCTTGACTCATTTGTATGACAACCAACATTTTCATGTTTAATGACAATGTGTACATTGAGAGGGTCATCCAATAGTATGTCATTCGAATTTCAGACTCGGGTATCCCCAAAAAAGTGAGAGACTTGACAACATTTTGATAATATCTCAGCAATTGATGGTCAAAATTCACTGAGGCAAGTTACAAAAATACAAAAGAGTCTTCCACCTGACAGATGGTACAAACACTACAAAGGTCTCATCGCATAGTTCCGGTATGAGATTTCTTGATATGCTATTTTGAAATTCTAAGTACTCACATTACTTGATCTTTTTAAAATGTAGTGATACTCTGAGGCTACTTTGTACACATTTTCAGTGAATTTGGTTTATCGATTGCCACTTGTCAAAAGTCTCACTTTTTGAGATACCCGTATAAATACTTTTAGTGCTGTATAATAGTTAAGCCGACAGGGGAAATCCGAGCAAATGCTGCATACTCATCACATTTGTGTTATGGCCTTTTTGCAAAAGAAATATGTCACCCCGAAGACAGATTAAAATCTATATGATTCAGTATAAGTGTCAGGTTATATTTCACGTGGGACTGTCTCTGCAACACTTTTGCGAACATTTTGCCGTTTTGCCAATAAAATAAGGATTTATAGTTTCCAGGATATTCCCAAATATAGTATTTAACTTCAACTATTTTTGATCAGGGACGGGGAAAAAAAGGACATATACGAGGGGTGATCCAAAAGTCTTGGACGCCCTGCTCTAATTTTGTTGGTTTTTTATAAAATTACTTTAAACTTTCCAATAATAAAGACCAACAACCTAACTACTTTGTGTATTAATTTCAAGGTGAAATGATATATTTTATGTAGTTTTCTCGATAGTTATTAATATAGTGACCCTGCCACCCGGAACGGTTATCGCACATGGCAACTTTCAGCCTTAAATGTTGCCGCTATTTGACTTGTTTTGCAAGTCTTGACCACTATCTTTTCTTAAATTTTGAATGTTAAACCATATTAGTTTACTTCCTTTGTTACTAGGCAACCAATTAATTGTGTTTTAATCATAATGTCACATATAACAATGGCCGTATATATCAAGTTCAAGAAATTGACATCAGACAATGAACCCTCATTCTGGTATCATTTTTGCTCCAAGATTGCTGCTGAAATGCAGAACATGAAAGAAATAAAAGTGAAACAAAGAATACTACAATATATTTTCACTATTATTGACCTTGAGCAACTACCAAATGCACGATACAGTCTAGATATGGCTCCGTGTGATTTTCTTTCTTTTCTCCAAGTTGAAAGGAGGGTTGAAAGAAAATGTTTTTTACTCATTGGATGAAGTTAAGAGTGGCACTCCAGCAGCATTTGTATCACATAAGCAATGGCGGTTTCATAAATGTATTTTATTCATTGGTAAAGCGGTATGAAAAATGTGTTCAAATTCGTGGAAAATATGTTGAAAAGTAGGCCGGTCTTAATATGTGAAGATGATGATGGCAGATGATACTCAGACTGAAAATCGGAAATTCTCTCATATCATGACTGGTGTTGGGTTGTGCACCTGCACCTAAAGTATTTGCAATATTATAACAGTTGTGACGTGATTTCCTATATTTAATAAATACCGTTCCGGGTAGCAAGGACCCGGTATCAAAAACTATTTAGAAAAGTAGCTAAAATATATTATTTTCTGTTGAAACTTATACACAAAGTTGTTAAGATGTTGATCTTTATTTTCTGAAAGTTTCATGTAATTATATTAGAAAATAGCAAAGTTAGAGCGGGGCGTCCAAGACTTTTGGATCACCCCTCGTATTTTCTGGGGTATTCCCACCAAGCTAATAAACTGCAACTATTTCCTCCTAAAATGTAAAACAAAGGAAGATTAAGAGACCAACAGTACTTAGCGTGGAATGGCTGAGCAAATGATCGAGCCCTTGACTAATACAAATGCAAGACATTTGTTCCTTACCATTTTGAATGATAAGAGCCAGACATGTTTTAATGCTTTGACAACAGTTGGCATTTTAATCTCTTGAGAAATGATCCACTTCCAAAATGTTACTAATTTGTCATTAGCAAATACAGTAGTGCAAATTACAAGTCTTCTAAATTTTCATTTATTTTGGTGCATTACAGATTATATAATAATTTTTCCCCCTAGGTATCACGAAAAAGAACAATGAGCCCATGCATTGCAAATTAGATGCATTCACGTTTTCAACAAAAGCAGTTCATCCAAGCGTACTTAAACCGCTAATTACGCAGTGGCTAACCTTGTCGGCTGCTCGCGTGTGTCAGCCGCGTCGGTTTGTTGCTAGTGCACAACAGGAGTTCGATGTCTTTCAAATGTAAGTGTGATTGCGCTCGAATGAGTTTTTTTGTTGAACACATGCGACCATGTAATTTGCGCTACGTTTTTTTGTTTTTTTCTTCTTGATACCTTGGGGGAATCTCATTACTTATTACGCAATGCACCACCGCCGCGGGCAATTCAAAAACACAGTATTATTATGCAAAAAATCATCATATTGAAAGAGCAATAAACTGTTGACTTCCTAAAATAGGCCTGATAGAAGAAATTTGAAAAAATTGTTACAATGCTGTTACAATGTTTTTTAAATGTCCTCCCAGCTCATCCGTACTCGTAATCGCTGTTACGCGGTATATGGCATACATTCATGGTTGCGCGGTATTTGTGATACGGGTGAATATGCCATACTCACCTGCGGTATATGGCATATTCCGCAGGTGAGTATGCAATATTCCGCAGTGAATATGCGATACATTGATTTCAGTGAATACCCGATACTCACCTGCAGAATATGTCATACTCACTTGCGGAATATGCCATATACCGCAAGTGAATATGACATATACCGCAGGTGAAAACGTGATACAGAAAGCCTTGATTTGATTGGTTGCGAGAATCGACTCTAAATGTAAAACTACGCTGGATTACCAATAAAGTTAGTGAGTCGAGTACTAATATATGAATCCTGGATTGATTGAATAAGTCTATTACGCGAGATTGGTGACTGATACTTCTACTAAGTTAATATATTCGAAACACAGTAGTGTTGATTCAGTAATCATTATAATAATTCATAACGTTTTACTTGTTCGTTCAATCAATGCAATTGACAATTGCGTACTTCCGTATCACGTTCTCATTGGTTAGTGTGTATGCCATATAACGCAGGTGAATATGTCATACACCGCAAGTGAATATGCCATATTCGTTGCGGAATATGACATATTTTTGTATCGTGTTTACCGCGTAACAATCGCCATTAGATTAAACTGTTGGATTACAAATGGCCGCCATACAGGTGACTATCTTCAGACAATCATGGGTAAATTTAACGCATGGTATTGAGACCTAAATACTTTGTCAAGTGAGAAATAAAAGACACGCTAACCTCATTCAAATAAATGAAACTGTCTGGTCTTAATCTAATGACATTGTAACACAGAAATGTCTTGCATTTTTATCAGTATGGTGCAATCATTTATTCAGCTGTCTGCCATTTCAAAATAAAAAGACGGATGAAAGTTTTACGAGTAATTGAAAGAATAACGGTTTTTAGATACAAACAAGCACACGGATGCAGATGCTTAAATAATGGTCTGGTTCTATGTGGTTTGTCATTCGGGAAGCTAGAATATTGCATTTCATATTATTCTCTCAATAATTTGAACGAATTAAACTGTCCCATTTTCTAGCAATGCTAACAATTTAGAGTATATAACTTTTTTCCTTGCTGATTCATTTATTTTCTATTCTATTTTGAAAACATTTCATCCACAAGAATTCCACTATATATGCAGCGATGATCGATTGTGTTCGTGATTCATGGATCCCTGCGCAAAGCGACGTCGTAGTGGTCACGTGATTAAAAATAAAAACTGTAAAAGCAAAATAATGCCAACGAAATCTTCAAATCAATTTAAAGAATCTGATTTATGAAACATCAAACAAACAATAGTCGTTGAGGATTTGCCAAAGATATAATACAATAATACGCCAGGATAACCATATAAGGTGTCAATGAAGTCTCTTTAAAATTACAATATAAGATCTGCGTAAAATATAAAGAAACTTTATGGACTGTACATGAGTTAAAAACCTATCCGATCTATCCTGAGATCGAAGGTTACCTGTATTTTACAGGCGACCAGGCGACCCAGGCGGGCGCTTTTATTTTTTTCATAGGGGTGGTAGGATCAAAAACACATTCCAAAATTATTTTATTGCATGATTATCTTTGAGATTCTGTCGTCGTGTAAATATATTGCTAACCACAATTGGAAAAAGTTCACTACCCGAATTAAAAGTAGCCAAATTGTCGTTGAAAATAAGAAATCGTGTTTACTGAAGCAAGGTTGGGATGTGTAATTGGGAGGAATCAGGACAATCCGCGCGAGGTTCGTTTTTTCTTGCTCTTCACAAGATAGCACCCATTTGTTATCCAATCGAACGAAAATCGTTCGAAATCGGGACAAACTGAGCATGGCATAAGTAAACTGAACAATATTGCAAAATATTACACAGGATTTAAAAGGCCGAAACTGTTTGGAAAGTTCCTAAATTTAGTGTAATTAAAATCTTGACCGGAAGTTAAAAATCCAGTGTCCTTGAGATGTAACTCCGGTAAATACCACCCCCGGTTTTAATACTTTAAAAACGAAGCCATGCCAACTTCAATGGTGTGTATAGTAGGTTTAAGTTTATCTAGTATGGCCATTTGAGGTATATATGTAAAGCTGAGGCCAAGTACTTTCTTAATGTGCCATTTTTAGAATAAAATCGCAAGAATATAGTCCCGTAAACCGGAACTACTTTATTCGTTAATTTTCATCGGTGAAGCAGGGATTTTACTTAAAAATGAGTCCCTATGTTGGCGTAGTGATATTCAAAAATCGAGACGCAAACCCTATATTAAATATAGTGTCAAGATGAAGGTTATGTATAGGGGAACGCAGAAATATAGTCATTGTATGGGCTAATTCGTTCGAAAATGGCGATATGTACCCCAAAACTTGAATTCTGTAATTTTGTTCAATATTTTTCAATGATTTACAGGAGTGACACCTTGACCTGACCGGAAGATGACAACAACAAGATAGGTCCAACAAGATAATGCAGCAAACTCTTTGTCAAGATCTGCCTGGAGAAAAAAGTTGCCTAGCCCTGATACCCCGGCCTGATACCATCAGTAGTGTAAGGCACTGAACGATACCATATACTTGTTTGTTTTGTTGTTGGTTAGGTAGCACGCCTGTGACGTCACAAACGATTGACAATAATTTAAACCCTGCTTCAGTAAACTTGATTTCTTATTTTCAAGGACAATTTGGATACTTTTAATTCGGGTAGGCCTAAGGCCCAAGTATGTTAGCTTTTTTTGTTATGAAAACATATTATAATCTCAAAGATAGTCCATAAATTAATTTTGGAATGTGTTTTTGATCCTACCACCCCTATGAAAAAAATAAAAGCGCCCGCCTGGGTCGCCTGCACGCTTGTAAAATACAGGTAACCGAGATCGAACGATAAAATCCAACCCAAGCTGCTTTTGCATAATAGATGAAAATCATACAAATTAATTATTTATTTCTAAGACGCTTTGAAGTCAAGATTGCATTTTGAATTACCTCATGAGGATCATGACTCTTGAAGCATTTCCAAAGAAGGACAATGAGAGATGAATTTGGTAGACATGATTCGCCTTGTATTTTTGAAATTGGGAATTGTTGTGTAGACTTTGTATCACTTGCTGGGTGCATTTTTCCTGGGCACATTTTTATCAATCATACGCCAAGATAGACTACCCTGGATATTGTATTTACACTTAGAATTGTTCAGTGAAATTAGGATATGTAATCCAATGAAATAGAAAAAATGGCAGACGGACCAGTTTTGTTTTGTTGAAAAAATCAGTGGACTACAAGCACCATTTTAACCCCATAATAATAATATTACAGCTACAAGTATGGTCACTAAAGTAATGGTTATTGTTGTTACAACTAATGTTATATACTTACAGTAATTATAATCAATATAATTATGAAGCATGGTCATTATTGGATGCAACAGCAGCATTGTATTCACATCTTAATATTGCAAACACAGCTACAAAGCATGGTCACTATTGTTCCAACAGTTATTGTACTTACAGTGAATATAGTTGAGACAAGCGTTGGATGATCGGGGAATGTTTGACTAGATTTCACTAATGCACCTGAGATCGCTGTAACATTGTTGTCCATTGTGTCGTTCAGAATGACTGAAAAAGAAAAGTACATATGAATGCACTACCTTCGAAAGGTTTGGCAACCAAATAAGTTATGAATTAAATGACAAAAAATGTAAAAATAGTTCTGAGAACATTTTTAGAACATACTAACACCCCAGTCACATTTGTCGCACGGCGGCCGCAAGTCGACCGCAGAACAATTAAATCGGTGAATTTCTGCGGCGAGCGTAGAAAAACTACGCTCGCCTTGCGGCCTCCGTACGGCGTATGCAGATTTTTACAGGCCACAGGGAAGGCGTAGAAATTATAACTCGGAGTTATAATATTTGTTCATTTCTGAGGTCCCCGTAGAAATCAACTGGCTCAACAAGATTGAATCATTATTTGTCAATGTTTCACGATCACTTTTCATTTGATATTACATCTTAGCACTTTGAATAACATTTATAAATTGTCCTGATGTAAATAAAATGAAAAAAAACTATTATTTATCAATAGAAATTTAAAATTCACTGTGCGGCTGCCGTGGGAAATGTGACTGCAAAAGTATGAGAGCGCAGAAATTCTGCGGCGAGCGTAGAAAAGCTACTGGCTGCAGAAATGATAGACCGCAAGGTCGCCGTAGGAAATGTGACTGGGGTGTTAATACTCAAATGAAAGTTCGAAAAAACTTTTGGATAAATGCCCTAAAAACTAAAAATCCATGAGTGATATTTGGATACTTAAAAAAGTACTTCACCAACTTTGCACGGGGCCTTCAACATTGATTGAGCACCCCATTTCGTATTCTTGAAAACTAAAGAATTAAAACCAAAGAGAAAAATTGCACCACTTTCAAATCTCCCCAGAGTATTTCCTAAATGACTTCACCCGGGTCTCATTCTGCAAAATCAGTCCTAATAGCAGGAGAAGCCACAGTTACTTCACGATCGTAGAAAGACAAGACAAGACACAAGACAAGTTCCATAAAATACTGAATACCACAGACCCACCAGGCACAACGATCCTATATATAAGATGGTTCGTGCATTCAAAGAAGCTGTTTTGAAATGAATGGTTATGACAATCCACAACGATGACAAATATTCAAGGTATGAATCATTAAACAAGTAATTAGTCCTCAAATCCAGTTCTTGCATGCAGGCTAGATGTTTTGTGATATAAAAACGAATCTTTTTGACATAGCTAATAATTTTTATGGATTGGTATATGTACACTCATAGGGGATACTAGCTAGATTAATGATAACAATATAGCAACTAAAAACCCTAACCAAAATAAATTACAATTTTTACTGTCTGCATAGTTGCTTATTTATCAATTATATCAATGTTCAGTGTACAGGCAACTGACACCCTAAATTGATTTAAAAAATCCATTTGTTTACAGATACGGATGCCACCAATAAATACTATTCCCATAGGCCAAATTTTCATTATCATCCTGAAATTTCCTTTTACAGGCCTGAATCGCAAAATACTCTGATATTAAAGAATAAAAGCGTATGAACAAAGTGTAGACTATCATCAATCAATCATTTTTGCCCTTGGGAGATAATCTGCCAACAGATGTAGATAAATCATTAAGGTTATATGTTGAATGGGAATCTTCTTTTTTATGAGTGTTGACAGAATGGATGCTTCTGTAGAAAGAATCAGTATGATCTTGGCCTTGTGTTCCTTGTTGGAATATTATCACATATCCTAAAAGACAGCCGTTAAAGATAATAAGTCTCTCAAAAGATTTTCTGCATTTTTGTTTTCGTTGCCATTCTTTAATTTCGTTATATACATGTCCAATGAAGTAGAATGAGCATAATTTCAGAAATTTAAATATAATAATGTGTTCGCTCTCGTCAATTTCTACTCAAAAGCAGTAACGAAATTTTCTTTATTATTTAGTTGAATGAATTCGGCATGTTGAGTAACGTGCATTTCATATTTGAAAAACAAATCAAGAAACTAACGTCTGCGTAATTTGTATGCAATATGAAGCAGCCAGCCTTTATGACCGATCCAATTTTTCTTGGAAAGATTTCAGAGCTGATCAAAGTATTCAAACAGTGCATGAAATTACTCTAAAAATAGTTCATTCGCAAAGTAAAAGAGGAGTGGAAAGAAATAGACATTGCTACATAGACATTACATTAAAAGAATGAAATCACCAAATATAAAGTGGTTTTGATGTAAGTTTTTTTCGAAAATCTATAGAACTATTGCACTTATGAAAGCACTGTTGCCTGAGAGAGAATGGACAGAGCGATCATCCCATTTCACACTATTTCTCTCTAAAATTTGAATGAACTGTTACATTTTCTTGAATTTCCATCTCATTAAGAGTGTTAACTACATGTCTGTTTACTTTCCTCCTCGCTTGTTCCACTCATTTCCACTCTATTTTGCATTTGAAAATGTGATCATCCTGCTCTTTTTTTACCGGACCGCAATCTATATTTCCCTCACTGTACCTAACATGGTTTACGACTGGCGCATCAATAATTTACATTAATGACAGAGATATGTTCTCCATCAGCTCGTTACTAAACAAGATTTATGTTTCTGCAACAAACTATATGCCATACTTGTAATTAATTTGCAAAGATGTATTTTTATTGGATTTATAGATTGAATTATTGTAACCTAGCTACCGTGACCTAATTGTATGTTAAAGTTTAGAAGGATTGCTCAGTTTGGTTCAGGTAGACGATGTGTTTGTGACGCCACACTGTTTAAAGCGATTAAAGAATTGGTAACATAGAAAATTTAGACATGCCCAGTTTTTGATATATCTATGGTTTCGATATAGGAATGTTCTCATTTTAGATTAAATGAAATAATTTACGTAAACGAGAAAACGTCATAACAAAATAGTCATTATCCAAAGAGCAAAAACTTGAAGATTGGTTTGACACAGAAGGGTGTCATCCCAGCATCCCATTCGGCACACTTAATCATAAAAAAACAATTTAGAAGGGCTGGTCTTACAAAATCTCAAACTTCCAAATGATTTGATCATACCGAATATTTGGATCTGTGAAATAATCAATAACAATGGAAGAATATGGAATTGAAATCCATTCAAGATGACCAGACAGTGTTTAATCGAAATTGGATTACAGTAAGCCAAATTCAGACGAATATTAGTTAGAGTTTATAATTTGATTATGTACCAGTGAATGCTATTTGTTTTTGGAGCCTGATTTTGAATTTATCAATTTTCAGTTCACTAATGGGTAGGCTAAATTATCTAATATAAATTCATTTCTTTTAGTTCTGTAATTAAAAGGTATATATTTGCGAATTGCTCCCAAAGTTTTTACCATTTATAGACGCGTGATATTCTATTAAGCGTTCACAGTAAAGAGCATATCAGTGATCACATTTATAGTTTATCTTAGATTTTAATGAATCCATTTATAATTGACATTTAGTTACCCTACTCTAATTTTCAAAGGTATCAATGTTCCCATTGAAATTTAGATGATTTCAATTTTCATAATTGTTCACATTTTGTCAAATGACAGAGCTACAAAAAAATTAAGAATTCAAGGTCAGATGTCTATAGATGCGTTACCATGTTAACGGAATGCTACAACAGAGCAAACAAAGAGAATTGGCAAGGGCATCCACTAGAAATTGAACCTCAAATTGAACCTCAATTGTTACCCTTCCAAACAGTTGGATGCCACTAATCAAGACACCGATACGCAAGGCTGTTGTTGTTATAGGAAGGCATCATCTTCGCACGCGCGGTTTTCACTGCATTCATCGACCGACGGGAGCCGAGTGAACGAAGATGGGAAGGCATGGTTCGCCGACTATTTAGAAGCTTGGCCGTTATTCAACCTTTGTCTCCTTCAACACGTTAATTGATTTCGCCGTCAAAACATGTTCCATTGAGCTCTTCCGGTAATTACCTTACGCACAAAGAATGTTCAAATCGAAACGTCTAATAATAAACCTCTGAGTGTAACTTGATATCATATTTATTACATACATGTGTAATAATAAGCAATAAATTTTTAATAATACGCTTTTTTGTCCTCGTATTAACATTAAGAACTAGTGATATCATTAACTGGGCCGAGCTCTATTTAAGAATTTCGATTGTATCAATAATTCAGATGTATCATATCATGCCATATAGTATCGTATCGAATCGTATCGTATCACAGTATATTATATCATGTCATATCAAATCAAATCGTATCGTATCAGATTATATCATATCATTCCATATCGTATCATACCATATCATAAATACTATCATACCATATTGTATCTTATTCCACAGTTAGCATGATATTCAAAGGATAACATGTCAAAATAAAAACGGTATTTTTGTAATCAGTGGTAGAATATGATATTTTTGACAAATGTTCACTTAACCATAGCATACGGCGCCGTATGCTATGAATTATTGATTTTTGCTACTTCAGACTCAAAACGAGGCGAAGTGTCAACATCGCCGGATCGTTTGGAAAATTCGAATTAAATCACTTAATTTCCAACGATTCTGATGCTGTCTTTATAACTATGGAATATAAAGAACATCCTATGATTTACTCGTGATATGATTTTAATCTACTCATGGATATTGATATCTGCACTCTCTCGCTACGCTCGCTCGTGCAGATATCATATCCATTCATGGATAAAAATCATATCACTCATAAATCTTAGGATATCCTCTATATATCATGTCATATCATATCGTATCATAAATATCCACTGTATGGAATAAATGTATCTTCGCAAGCCAATAATGTGCAAAAGTAGGCTTGTTTCCCCTTATTTAGAATATTGTTTCATCGTACGATGATTTATATATGGAAATAAAATAACCTTTTTCATACAATATAATATTGAAATAAATCAGCCAGGCTAAATTCATATACAATGTACTCGGGCATCTATGTCTATATGGCTATCAGTTTCTAATTCTCTCTTCAACCTGTATTGTAATGACTTCAGTATGAATGAAATGTTCCTTGGTGTTCTGGTCTTGGATTGTGTTATCGGTTCTTGAATGGTGGGGGAAAGGGGGTATTAGACATTGTTTCTTTTCACGTTAGAGCCACGCGGTACAAACTTCGAGCGTTAATTTGAATTTTTGACCTACCGGATGTTTGAAAATCAAGGATTACGAGTCTCATACTGCACCGTTTTTCTTCAAACTTGTTCCATTCAAAGCATCACAAAAATCCCTTTCTGATGGTACATTATTCTCCTAATCAGAGTTCCTACTTCCAGCGGCATTTTGGTCCCCAGCTGTAAGAAGGCCTTCTAACAGCTGGGTACCAAAACGCTGCTTGAGACTCGTAATCCTTGATTTTCAAGCAGCTGGTAGGTCAAAAATTCAAATTAACGGTCGAAGTTTGTACCGCTTGAGAGCATGGTTTTGGGATATATGGGGTTTGTGTTTCTTGACAGGTATGCACTTAGAGTTTGCTTTTTCTTGCTGAGTTCCATTACAACTTTTGGTCCTTTCCCTTTGGCACTCGTGCTTATATATTCATGAATACGTTGTGCATCATGGAGATATGGTTGGATGCCCTCCAAAATGAAGTTAGTGTAAATTATTTACAATGACTGTCGTACTGGAGAAATTATTAAATACAGTAAATATGATATATCGCACTTAACACGGATATAAAGGTCAATATCTTATTCTGATATAATGATTTTAGATGGATATATCATTTTTCTTTTAATATGATTAAAACGCTGCTATAGTGTACATTAAGGTACACTCCCCTCCATAAGTTTGGCGACCTTAGCTCCACCATTGAACTACGTGTTGAAGCCTCTTTACCTTTGAATGTATTTACCTAACCTACGATGAAAAAACTTATACTATTGATGGAAACGTAATTTGACTGAATTATTTTACTTCAATTCCAATAGGGATAAATTTGATTGATTTTTGAAAATCGACATTCCCATGTTAACCAATGGGAAATGGTAGGTTTGCTGCAAGTCATATGACAGAATATCTATCCATCCGACTTCTTGCAAAAATACAAGTTAGGTAGGCAATTGATACTTTTGTTAACAAAAACATGATATGTTTCTCCAGGTTCAACAAAGTTATATGTCTTTAAATAGGTCAAAATTGTTTTTCAAAAAAACCTCTCCCATTGAAATAGCACAGGAGGCGAAAAATGATTATCAAAAATGACCTTGAAGCCTGTAACTTTAATATTCATCATGTAAACTAAACACTTAGTGTAAAAAAGTTAGCCAATTCAATTTTCTATATAAAGATATTTTTGCTGAATCTTTTACCGAATAGATATCCTGATTTCTAATTTGCCCCGAACCCACCATTTCTCATTGGTTTACATGGGAATGATGATTTTCAAAAATTCATCAAATTAATCATCAATTTTCGATCTATTGTAATTGAGGGAAGTACTGGGAAGGTTTGGAGGTATTGGAAATAAAGTCAAATTACGTTTCCATCAATAACATACATGTAAGTATATTCATTGTAGGTTAAGTAAATAAAAATTCGAACGTAAAGAGGCTTTAACACGTAGTTCAATAGGGGAGCTATGATTGCCAAACTTATGGGGAGGAGTGTAGCTCGTTTTTAAAATTGTGTCACTGTGTTGGACGTGTAATCGTTGAAAAAAGAAAGATAAAAACAAGTACGATAGTCTTGCACCAAGTTCTTGTCCCTCCCAGCTCTCTTAGAAACTTAATAGGGCGAGACCTTGACGAAAGAGTACGACGAAATCGTAAGACATTTCAACTTAAGTTAACAACTGTAGCTTACGGAAACAGCACCTCTGCGTGCGGGTAAGACATCGAATTCTAGTAGCTTAATTCTATTACACTGATGTATGAGGTCTTAGAAGATCATTAAATAGACACCTTAGGACAACGATCTTTCTGTCTTAATACCCCAATGATAATGAATGTGACACGAGCCTAATCCGAGTAAAGAATATGTCTTAATGTTTTCATGGTTAACCATACAGCGCAAGTGTGGCGAGGCCAACATGAGGCGTCAGTGTTGACCTCCCATTATCTCCCGGAGGAGGACCCAATCATTAGTGAAAATGAGGGAGCTAAAAATTTAACGATATATTTCGTTATACGCAGTAATAAAGGCCGCCGTGTGGCACGAATCCCTTGTTCCAAAAAACGAAAAGCTACACTCCCCTCAAAAAGTTTGGCAACATGAATCCCAAGTTTTGCAACAGGAGTTAACTGCTATTAAAACAAAATCCTGCAAACGATGAATGGACGGGTGCCAAACTTATAGTGGGCGGTGTAGTTTTTGTAATTCCTTACTTGTCTTATGACGTGTAGTTGCATAGCTTCTCACCAGCTGTATATAGCCAGTATAGAGCCACAGTATAGTGACCCATAGTGAATGTGACCTCATGTTGAATCTTTACTATCACTTTCTTGAGCCTTCATTGTAACACTCCGATCCATCTACCTGAAATGTAAATCAAAGTATGACAATTATCCCCGGCGTTGACTAGATCAGGCGCAATTCATTGTGTTACGCAATCCAGTGACTGGCGCAATTCACTCTCTGACGCATTGATTGATTACCTGGCACAATCTAGTGATCGGCGCAATTTAGTGACTGTCGCAATTTAATGTCAGGCGCAATCCAGTGACCGGCGCAATTTAATGACTGTCACAATTCAATATGCACAATCTAAAGACCGGCCAAGGCTAGTAACAGGCGCATTGAATCCAGAAATAACGGATGCAATCCCGTGACTGGCTGACAATAATACACGCTGGTACATGTTATTTACATGTAGCTCTGATTCAATATTTAAGAAGCTTTAATTGAAGTATAGAGTTTGTACTAAATGCAGCTTCACATGTACTAGTCACCCTATATACAGCTAATGTGACAGCTATTCAATGCAGCGTTACGTGTGCATGCAGCTTAAGATTAAGTGCGTTTTCTACGAGCAATTCTTCAACGCTGTGCACGTGACTTAACACTCAGGAGTTCAATTTTATTTTTCTTTGTATCTAGGCAGTCTCACTTTCTAAATCACAGAGAATAACAATGAAGTACAAAAATCAATTCTAATTTCCAATGAGAAATAGTCAAGGTGGCCATGTCTAAATCACCATTTTACTCTTCAGATTTTGACTTAACTGTAAAATGTTTGGAATTTCAACATAATTTAGAATATCGGCTACACGAATGTTGTTTTTATTCCTCGCTTATTTCACTCTTTTCAATTGTACTTGATATTTTAAAGTATAACCACCGTGACTTTTTTCACCGGTTGTGTATCGTTGCTGCACATCGCACTGTTGTTCATGTTATTTATTATTGTGTATTTCAAAATCAGAGAGAAATCGGCTAGATTAAACCACACAAAAGCATGCATTTAAAACTCAAAATTCAAGTGCTTTGCAAAGAGTAATTTAATTCTTATTTGAAAAGAGAGAATCTGGAAAGAATATTACCAAACGTAATTTTAGCAAGGAGAATTTGTTAACAGCGATATTCATCAGTTTCTTTTTTCAAATTGTTGTTATCAGTTGCTGTCTTCAGCCATAGCATCTTTAAGACACTTTGCATATTTGACACGTTACACGTGTCTCACTTAAATTAGTTCTTTCCCAGGCAAATGTCATCTCTTGTATTTAACACTTTACTCGATTCACTCTTGGTATTTTCGAGGCAGATTTCATCACTTCTATTAGACACTTTACACGTGTATCACCCTTGGTATTTTAGAGGCAGATTTCATCGCTTGTGTTAGACACTTTACACGTGCATCACCGTTGGTACAATTAAGGCAATTTCATCACTACTATTAGACACTTTACTCGTTTATCACCCTTGGTACAATTAAGGCAATTTCATCACTTCTATTAGACACTTTACTCGCGCATCACTCTTGGTATTTTCAAGGCAGATTTCATCGCTTGTGTTAGACACTTTACACGTGTATCACCATTGGTATTTTAGAGGCAGATTTCATCGCTTGTGTTAGACACTTTACACGTGTATCACCCTTGGTACAATTAAGGCAATTTCATCACTTCCATTAGACACTTTACTCGTATATCACCCTTGGCATTTTCGGGGTAGATTTCCTCACTCCTGTTAGACACTTTACATCATAGTGTATCACCCTGGCAGATTTCATCACTTATATTAGAAACTTTACACGTGTACCACCATTGGTACTTAAAGGCATTTAAAGTCGCCCCCACTACCATCTCTCAACTTGAACAAAACATGTTTTACATATAGGAGACCAGGCTTGTCATTTATATCTTTTCTAAAGATTACGCACATGGTACTGGCTTCACGTAGACTCTCGACAAATCTTGTCATTAGTGAAATATTCAACCGTTTGACCACCTCTTCTATTTTAATCTATCAAACTTAGGTTGGAGAAAAGTATTCGAAGGGAAACCATTGCAATGGCCTCGTGCATTGACATGTTGGATCCTTTCAATTGCCGGAGTGGAAGTACTTTGCATACTTAGTATTACCCTGGGAAGAATCCATAATTTCCCTTTCAGCGAATCCCATTTGGAATTCCTCTTTGAATATTTCATAATCCTTTCATCATTTAACAGCAAATGTTTTTCCAGGAGACTTTCCTGGTAAATTCCAGTAATAAAAATGCTTCAATAATAAAATCATTTCTCCCTAAGTACTAGTATAATAATTGGTGCTTTAATTATACAGCAATGTTGAAACCATATGGTAGTATAACTCCAGATGCAACAAAAATGCACCTTTTATATTGTATAGTATAAGGCTTTGAACATTAATGCAACCATCAGGCCGTAGCCAGGATTTGCCAAGAGGGGGTTCACTTTTTGAAAATTCCAGGTGGGGTTCACTACTGACAATTTTGGTCCAAAAATGGCCAAAATCACCTAAAAGTGCTTAGAATGGTGAAAAACTGCATGATTGTGAAAGAATGTTTGACCGGGGGGGGGGGGGGGGTCGGACCCATCGACCCCCCCCCCCCCCCTGGCTGCGGGCTTGACCATGATATAATTCTTGCAACTATAAAGCGAACATAATATGAATCTTGCAACTATAATTACTGTCCTTGCAAAATCAGTTACCCGTGAATTGCATTCAATCAGTCTCGTTTTAGAACTACAGGGTGGGCCGAAAAACGTCCATATTTTTGTTTTTGCTACAACATTTTTAATATTACAGACACATTTTTAAATCATATATCATTGGAAAGACAATTAATTTTCCATCAAAATGATAATAAATAAGTAAATAAATGAACAAATAAATATGTATCATGGATGAGCACATGAATGGTGATTGTGATACGCGTCCATTGTTTATGTCATATATCACACCCTTCTACGAGGGGTGATCGGGAATTTCTGGACCGTTGGCTCTATTTTTGCCATTTTTTATCCTTTCTTACTGATTTTTTCACATAATATAAACCAAATATATAGGATCACCTCACGAAGATTTCATTGTTCTATGCCATCATTATCTTATTATTTTTGTTACCATGGTAACCGGTGACGCGACAAGGTGGAGCTCAGAAAAAATACCAAATTTGAAAAACAACAGTAATATGAAAAAATACCAAATTTGAAAAACAACAGTAATTTTATATGATGTTTGGACACTGTATTCATTGCTGAATATGTGACATACTGTCTTGGTTGTATTATTTCATTAAGTATATTCATTAATGTGCATCTGTCATTATTCTTCCATCATTTATAATACTTCAAACTAGTTACCAGTACTTTGTAAGCATTTGTTATGCCTTTTCACCCAGTCCTGAAAGACGTGGTGTGTGAATTCCTGAATGATCTCATTACTGGCCTCAAAGTGGATACCTCATAATTTTGTCTTCACTGTTGGGAAAAGATAGAAATCACAGTCAGCTAAGTCTGGGGAATACGGTGCGTGTGGTACACGGCATTGGGAATACGGTGCGTGTGGTACACGGCCACAGCCGATGGAAACAATCACATTTTGTAGGCAAAGACGGCCTGTATCACATCTTTCAGGAATAGGTGAAAAGGCATAACAAATGCTTACAAAATGCCTGTAACTACTTTGGAGGATTAGAATTGATAGAAGAATAATGCCAGTTATTATGAACATTAATGAATATACTTAATGATATAGTACAACCTATTTGAGGATGTTTGTAACATATTCAGCAATGAATACAGTGTCAAAAAATGTAATATAAAACTACTGTTGATTTTCAAATTTGGTATTTTTCTGAGCTCCACCTTGTCGCGTCACCGATTACCATGGTAACAAAAATAATGGGATAATGATGTCATAGAACAATGAAATCTTCATGATGTGATGCTATTTATTTGGGTTATATTATGTGAAAAAATTAGTAAGAAAGGATAAAAAATGGCAAAAATAGAGCCAACGGTCCAAAAATTCCTGATCACCCCTCGTATGTTATGTTACATTTATGAATGAATTCTGCTACAATTTCAATTTCTTTATTTTCACAAGACATACAATATTGGAAAAAAGGGAATCGTCCTCCATGTTGAAAGGTGTTTAATTGGGTTGCCGTGTGATACAAGTTTATCGAGCATTTGCTTTCTATATATACTGTATTTTTTACATGAACGCATTATGTGTTTTTCGTTTTCTATTAAATTGCAAACCTCGCAAATTCTTTCATCGATCTTTAATTTTGGGCGTTCGTATCTACCCGTTTCTATTTTTAATTTGTGGTTACTGATACGAAACTTTGTTAGACTTCGTCGTAAATGCCCATTTGAAATTGAATCTAAATATGGTTCGAACCTGAAATTGCTTTTAAATATTTTGTATGTATTCAGTTTGCGACATTGGTCGGAATTCAATTGATTTCGCCAATAATCTTCAAACTAATTTTTGATTTACAAACAACTTCGGATGCGTCAATAGTATATTCTTTTACATCTAAAGTATTATTGATATTGCTGGGAGTATCTCCTGAAAATGATATATTTCTAATTTATCGATTACACTTTTAAAGTTCAGCATCCACGATGACTTGTTGTTCTTTGATAAGTCATTTGATGTAGTAAGTGCTTCTGATAATAAGATGCATGACGTATTTAACATGTGATTATAGAAATTAGTAACTTGTTTTAATATATTTATATATAGTGGGTATATAGTGGGTATTTCCCAAGCTCTCCATAAATTGCTAAATTTGTTGATTTTTTATTTACTTTAAGAATAACAAAAAGATAACAGAAGTTTCGCAGATGGAAATCGTCTGCCATTTGTAAACCATTCATTCAAATCTTTTGTAGAAAAGGAATTCGACATGCCCCATATTTCAGATCCATATAAGATTATTGGAACTACCAATTGTTCAAAAATCTTTATTCCTATTGAAGGTTTCTGCCAGGTGTTGGTAATAGTATAGCCTAAATAACGCAGAGAAATCTGCATGAAATAGTTGCATTTTTACTCATTTTGAGACATTTTGGAGATAATGCCTATTATAGGCTAAAATTATCATGAACTGATCAATAATGATGTTTTACTTATAACTAACGTTATTGATATTCTGGATGGCGGGCAATGCAATAATAGACACCAGAAGAGGAAATTATGGAAAACTACTCCACTATCATGGGTTATCGCAAAATTTCATCTGAGTTTCTTTGCAAAACATGTTTGAAGCAAATATCAATTTATCTAACAATCTTACTTTATAACAGTATTAAGCTCAAATCATAGCGAAATGTTGTTTTCGACGAGTACTACCCCATGATACAGAAATGACTATAGAGTCACTAATAGCCATTCATATTTTATGAATCATACATCATTTTGCTGGAAATTGAATTATGTTTCAAATGGTATATAATTTATGGATATTTCTAACATACCAGCGAAGATATTACAAAAATAAAAATATGGACGTTTTTATTGGGCCACTCTGTACATCCATTGCAACTCATGCGCAGTCTCTCTCAATGATCATAGATTGGTACTTAAATAATTGAACAAACTCACCCAATACAATACAACAACAAAAAATATTTCACAACAATAACATTGCAAAATATCATGAACTCAAAAAGGTAGATCAATAAATCTGATGAATTTTTAATAATGCTATAAAATGTGGTGCAAGCGTTATATTTTATGGCTAAAATAAAAAGTCAATATCACTGCCAATAAAACACCGTTTCGTAGTCAATGGTGATATAAAACTTGACATGGAAACATTTTCGATCTGATGAAGTTACATGAAATTGCACCACGTTTAATTTTACAGTATGCATGTTTCCCTATGAACCATTTGCATCCCCTTCTTGGCAGTGACAGCTAGAGAACTATTCAGTGGAAGATCTAGAAAATTAGAAACCATGTGTTTTTCGACAGAAAGCATCATGTGTATCCTATTGGGGGAGAGTGCTCTGTACCTTTCTGCTCCTCTCGTTGGAAAAGCTAGAAATTATGAATGTTTTCAGAGAGATAGCTAATTATTCAATTTGCAGAGAAAGAGTTTCACCAAGAGAGCTTATCGTAGCAATGCGTATCCCAAAGTGGGGATAACAACAAACCATTCTTAAACCTAGACACTATATACTAGATGTGTTTCTTTGACAGTGTCGATAACCACGTGTATACTCTGGGGGGGGAGAAGAGTTTCAAACCGTATACGTGCCCAGGTACAACTTTTTGGAGAGCTAGGAAGATAGTCCCCTTGGTAGCCAGCAAGTTAAATATTATGTCAGTAATCAAAGTACGACGTCCTCAGTTATTCCCTACTGACCACATCGGAACATCAAACTTGAATAATCAGATGATTTCCCAAGAAAGGAATGCAAAATTGGAGTAATCTAATTCGGGCTGCCAATAAGAACATATAATCAAAACAATTACACAGCCCCGTCTACTGAGCCTAAAGTCAAACATATCAAATGCACAGTCCTCTGACCGTATTGAGGATGATTTTTAAGTATTTATGGAGATGCGATCTTAACGATCTCGAATGTAGTTTTGAAGGGTTTTATGAATGTGATGTAAATATTAGCTTCTTATAGGGTAGAAATGTAGTTTTGTGACTTTTGAACTACACCACTGTCTGATGAAATATAAACTCTGATTATTTACAAAGTATTTATAGAGCCAGGGTCCTGTCAAGAGCAGACCTCACTAAAAAAGTAGCTGGCTATGTGTTTGGGAAAGATATAGCCTGTAAAACCTTTAAAACAAAATATTAATACACTTATTTCAGTGGTAACCTCGCAATGTGCAAGAAGAGAAACTCTCGAGTTTCTCAAGTTTCAAATCGACAAAGTCCTCAAAAAATGCCCACGGACCATTGCTTCATTTTCGATACATTATGAATTACGATACTAAGACTCTATTTCTCGACAGGCAGCTCAACTAAAATTAGCTTAAAGTCAATCTGCTTGCAAAATTGGAATATTTATGCCTTTCTTAAGACTTGTCTACAAATCCAGGATCCTTTTAAATTAGTGACATCACTCAATCAAAGAAGCTTTGCCTAGCAACAACAATCCATCACCATGACAACCGACTTACCAAAATGAAGCTGGTGATTAAAGTGAGGCTTGGTGAGCCTTCGAACTTTATTGGTCATTCACCGAGAAAAGGTCATCTGCTAAACCCGAATTACAACAAAACAAACCTCAAATTGACATGACTTAAACAATTGAGACGTTGAGATGAGTAACTTGGAATCTTCGATATTCAGTATTTGGAATGACACAATTTATTCAACATTGGATAAGACTACTTCTGATTCTGTAATCTAATTTGGAGATGAAATTAACCGAGTTGATTAACTTGACTTCGGAGAGGGTTGATTTTACACACTATTTTTAGCAATGGCATCATACTGTGTATCCATTTACAATGGAAAGAAAGTCTTTGTTTTGACGTGATATTATGTAATGCCACTTTCACGCGGTCCTAACTTCGACCGTTAATTTGAATTTTTGACCTACCAGGTGCATGAAAATCAAGGATTGCGAGTCTCATACTGCACCGTTTTTCTTCAAACTTAAACCATTAAAAGCAGAACTGTCGGTGCATTACTTTATTGTAAAGAGTCCCTCGTTCTAGCAGCGTTTTGGTCCCCAGCTGTTAGAAGGCCTTGAAGAAAATAATGTACCATCAGAAAGGGATTTGTGTTATGCTTTGAGTGGAACAAATTTGAAGAAAAACGGCGCAGTATGAGACTCGTAATCCTTGATTTTCAAACATCCGGTAGGTCAAAAATTCAAATTAACGGGCGGTCGAAGTTAGAACCGCGTGACTTTGGTTAAAAAGACGCCCATTTAAATATCCCCAACATGACTTCCAGTCCCATATGATCTCAACAAAACACTCATTTGTTATTTCAAAAAATCCCATGAAATGAGGACCAAGTGATTAAACATGTACAGTTGAAGCGACGGTTATGTCCGCCATTTGTGACAACGGTATCTGACTTTACCGTAGTCAGGCTATTCCGGTGTGATTATACAGTATGTATTTTACCATGAATAAACCGAGTCTTTCCCATGTGAAGATAAACAAGTGTTACCCTACCTTACGAAGGGACAGCTATGATCTGATAATTTTTTGAAGAGGATTGGAGTTTCTGAAGTTCAATCAGATCCATCGGTAATTCATACAATGATATAGCTTGGCAAAACTTTATGGTAATTCCTTGGAAGGTTATATAAGCTTCATAAAATCATTGGTAATTCCTTTTGGAGATATCTATAGGCATTTAATTTAGAATAGATTCATTGGAAATCAATAATTATTCAAATAAAAAATTCACTGGTAATTTCAAGTAAGATGTTGAATCCTACTAAATCAGAGGGATGATCCAAACATTTTTGGAACTATTTGAAATGGATTCTCCATCTGTTTATCTTTTTATCTCCTCGCTCTGTACAAAGTTAGGTGAAAATAGCTTTGGAAAATGCTGAGTGATCACTTACCCATCTGCCTGTCTAGATCACAATTAAGGTGCGCAAAGCTGAATGCTTTTTGAACATGTTTATAAAAGGCATCAATATGATATATTTGTAAGATTATGTGTAAAATTTCAAGTTCTTCAGGGCAAAGTCTCTTTCAGATTAAGATGTCCACGATGGCTAGAATTCCCCAAATTCTCATATGATTTTGAACTTAATGCAAGTTAATTGCCAATGTTAAATGGTTGGAGGATCCTTTCAGTGAATCAGCCAGATTTCTCCTTCTTCTCTGCCTACCTAAATTATTTACACTATTCATGTATGTTATGTTCTAGAAAACAACATGCAGGTTGAGGTGCTATCTAAAATACAGTAAAACCTATCTAGTACGAATGCCACCGGGATCAGCCAAAATTGTGGTCCCATTTCAAGATTGCCAAAATTGTGGTCCCATTTCGAGATGTCAAATTGTGGTCCCATCTTAAGATTGCCGAAATTGTGGTCCCATTTCAGGTATTTTACATTTTACGGTTGAACATGTTTGCTACTATTATGGAAATAGGTATAGTCCGCAATACTAGCAGATGGATGACTTATTCCAATGAAGCAATCATATTTTGTTGATTAAGCCAAGATGCTGTGAATGAATGTTTATCCAGTTGTAGTGAAACTTACGTACTTCTACATGGAAAAACTTGGATACCACCTTTCTCTAGTTAAATGGCACAGTTCTATTCTAGAGGTTTGACCCTTTATAATGAGAAAAAGAATGTCATCATTCCTCTGAAAGAGAGCGTCTTCTGAATCCTCACACATACTCCTTGGATAGTGAAATGACATGTTGTTAGGTCTCAGCACGGGCCAAACTAAAAAGGACTGTGTTTTCTCATAATGAATGCTGTATCAGTATTAAACCTATATTTAAACTAAGATTTAAACCAGTATTAAATCTTTATCTTGCACCAAAGCTCTGTTCCCATTCTTCCTCCAAATGATCCCATTTCATCGAATCTGCGCACCAGGAAGGTTAAACTTAGAGACAAAAGAGAAGTTTCCTCAAGCTATAGGGTAAATTATGGATAATCGTAAACATGTAGGAAAGGAACCACTCACTGATTTGAATGAGAAAGCGATCAGAGATTTGAATGAGACTAGAGACTTTGAAAATTTTGAGGCACATTTTCTTCCAAATTTGACCTGAAATTAATAATGACCAAAATGCCCATTTTCGGGGCCTTAAGGCCTTTTTTGGCAATTTTTTTTCTTGGCCCACCCAAGGGGACCCCAGCCCTCCAGATCCGCCAGTGCTAACATGAATATTGTTAATTTAATAATATATACAGTATACTCTAAATCTCAACCTATGACTGAACTGGACATATACATACAACTAGTTTTATGTTAGAGAAACAAAAACTGAATCTGACTTACCAGTTACTCTGCCGTGTTTAGGCAGCTACATACTAGATAGTACATATAATCCATTGCCTATATCATTTCACCTGGTATCGCTTTTACTGCATATTTTCCCAACAGGCTCTCGACTACACTTCCTCTTGAGCTCTCTTGCAATAGTACTAATAAATCTACGTCAAGTCTCTTTCTATCTTTTAACTGTTCAAAGACTGCTAGGCTAAAAATCAATGCTGTTATATTACCAGGTTTTGATAATAATACTCAAGCATGTAGAATTGTAGAAATAGCATACTCACTGCCGAGTTTGTCAATATCACGGGGATCTCGAGCTCAGTTTTCGAGGCAAGCGAGACTAGTCAAAATATCAATATTCCTTACATAGCATGAAATTCAAGATAGAATTAGCGATCGTTTTATATTGAGTCTCATATAATTCTTGTAATTTCTGTTAAAAAAATCAAAAACGTTTACTATTCACCAATTATTTATTTATTGGTTTAATTATTTACCTTATTTATGCCCGGGTATTTATGGCCTTCTTTTTAGTATTCATTTAATTTATGGCCTTTTTTCCAGTGTTGTTCATATTTTTTTTTACTGGATTTCGTCTAATTAAGACTCCAGCTTTATACTTTCTATCGTTATTAATCTTATTTAATTGCTTTCCTTTTATTGTTCACCTTATTCATTTGCTTTATTTTTTATTTTTCTCTATTTTCATGGACTTTCTTTTCATAGTTTACCTCATTTTTGTATTTCCTTTTATTTTCACCTTATATGGGCCTTCTGGAGAGCTGACAGCAGAGACATCTATTAATCTTAGAAGATTATATTTGGAATTGTGAAGAACACAAATTGCAGTCGATTGTAATTACCATACTTTTTAAATCTTTATTGGCGTCATAACTTCAACGATTTAGATTTGTGTAACATTGGAGCTAAGCGTTACGTTGACTGCAGTTATCGTAACATTTGCATATTTCATAAGAGGGGTAGAATATGTGTTTTTTACATTTAACTCTAGGTTATCTTGCTAGTTTTGAGATAAGCAACATATTTTATTCTCTTCATGGTACATTGCACATGCGGTGAATGATGATGAAAATTGCACTGAGCACGTAAGAATTTCACCCGTGCGCACATCAAACCACTAAAAATGACAAAAATGAGGAACTCTGTGTAAATTGAATTCAGCTTGTAATTGCAGTGCTACAAGTTCCCGACATGTGGGTCATCCCTTGATAGTGATGAAAACTCACTGAGTTTTTAAATTGCTTATTTCTGTCAACAAGTCGTAAAACGGTCCCATTGCCTTGACGACGTAGAATATTGATATGAAAGGTGATTCATACATTATCCATCCGTAATATAAACACTTAACAGGGTTGGCCAAAAACGTCAATATTTTTTTTATTTTGAAATATCATATTTGAAAAGGCAAAAAACCTCCTATGTCAGGTTGACCTCGATTTGACCATTGTTGACCTACCTTTAACATTTATATTAGGGTAAGTACTATTTCCTGAAAATCTGAATCGGTCAAATTAAAAGCACACACGATTTTTTCGAAAAAAAGAAAATGTTTGCAAGCAAAGGAATAGGATTAAACTGACTGGGTAATACATAAATATATGTTCTGTCTGAGCTATGATTTTCAAATTTTAAAACGCACGACTAGGGAGACGAGTCTCACTTTTTATGCCTTCTCTGACAAACACTCGAAATTCCCGCTGAAAAGACATGCTTTGCCAATTTTTTAAAAGTATAATCTGCAATGATTTTGATTGCTCTGAAGACTTTATTTCAATCTGGCAATTAAAAAACGACAGTAGACTGTCTATATCTACTTTTAATTGTTGTTTCACTGATAACAACGAGATTTATGTTTCAAACTATTCACGGAAAAATATATGATATATGGCATACATACATGTGCATATATTACTGAAGATTGCGATAAATATTGATATCTAAACTAATTAAAGTCTAAACGATGGCCACATCTCCCAACTAGCAGGTACATGCTCTGAATAAATATATATTGGACACAACCTACAGTTGGACAATAGTTTTTACATGAAGATAAACATGGAATTTTACAGTACATCTGGTTATGTGAGATATATAGGGCAATAAATACAACTACCATTTGGCGGTCAGGACTTTCACTGTTAACTTCAGAACAAATTCTTCCGACATTATTTGAACGTGCTGACATCTATAAAGTATACGTTATCGTGGATTTTATCAATGCATCAAATGCTAAAATATTAGAGAATAAATATTTTGTAAGAACATCTCATTCTCAATGTGGGAATTCTTTCCTTTTTTCCACATTTTATTCTGCCTGTATTGACCTCACGTGACATACAATGATTGAAGGACATGACAGCCAGAAGATTTAGACAATTCTTACGTTGTAAGCCTTCATGGTTTTTATTTGTATGTAGTCTGTGTCCATTTCAATCTGGAGTCTAAAAATAACTCGACATGAAGATTGCAAGCAATCTTCCGGAGGTACGGTAGGCGTTTTTGACAATCTAACCAAAGGTCAATCTCAAACTAAGGTCATATATAAGCACGGGGCTTCTTCTAGATAATGTTTAAAAACGTTGTTCAATTTGAAGCAATTGTAATTTGACCTTTTTTAGCTCACATGGTGAGCTATTGCAATCACTCGTCTGTCTGTCCGTCCGTCCGTCCGTCCGTCCGTCTGTCTGTCTGTCTGTCTGTCTGTCTGTCTGTCTCTCTGTCTGTCTGTCTGTCTCTCTGTCTGTCTGTCTGCCTGTCTCTCTGTCTGTCTGTCTCTCTGTCTGTCTGTCTCTCTGTCTCTCTGTCTGTCTGTCTGTCTCTCTGTCTGTCTGTCTCTCTGTCTGTCTCTCTGTCTCTCTGTCTGTCTCTCTGTCTCTCTCTCTGTCTGTCTCTCTGTCTGTCTCTCTGTCTCTCTGTCTGTCAACAATTTGCCCGTTTTAAAACCTTTGTCAATAGGATTCCTGTTTTAAGTTATCTTTGTTCAACATCAATATAGAAACCCCCCCCCCCCTATGACTCCTGGTTCAGAAGCTCGCCTATTTTCAAAATAGCCGCCATTTTTGTCTCGCAAAATCCATTTTTGGACCATTTGCTTTAAAACCTCTGTCGGTAGGATTTCCGTTTTAATTTATTTTTGTTCAACATCAATACAGAAAACTCCCTTCTGGCTCCCCTTTTGTCTAGCGAAATTCACTTTTTTAAACAGAGCCAAAGTCTAACAGAATTTCGCATCTAATAATATTAGAAATAGAAACTGATAGGTACGAACGCCTGAAATAAAAAATCGATGAAAAAAATTTGTCTCCAATGTAATAAAAAACGAAAAGCATATAATGCTTTTATGTAAAAGCATAGTGTTTATGATTCGAATGCAAATTCTTATCTCGAATCCCACTGTTAAACAATTAGAAATCGATGTCTTTGGGAAAAACACGTTGAAACTCTTGGGGACTTATTTTATCAGGGGATTGTGAATTGGCAAATAAATTTCTGAGTGATGTTAAGAAAAGGTTGCCAGAGGGACTTTCTGTTTTAAGTGACGCGAGAACTATAATATTGGGTCCTGTAATCATGAACGAAAATTCTATCCTATTAAACGCACTTTTCTGTATGTATAAAATATATATTTATCTATGCAAATGTAAAAATGTGCGACCATATTTTGTAGGTTTTAAAAGTAATGTAAAACAATGGTTTCAGTTATATGTAAATATTGTAATGCTGCTAACCTTAAATAAAAACTTATTAAAAAAAAGAAAAAATAATGATAATGCTTATTCATAAATATATCGTTACATAAAAGAATGCGCAATTTACATAAACAACGGACAAGTATCACAGCTATGGCATTATTTTTGCTTCTTTATTCATTAAATTCAAATATATTCGATATATGAAACATTCATATTCGCTAAATCATTTTTCCATTCGGTAAAAACGTTTATATGTTTGTTACAGCAAATTAAGTTTTCAAAATAGCCAATCACTTAATACTATGTGCATTAAATTACATATTTCATTCGTTAAATGATATTTTTTGCGTAAACTATTATGGTATTCCTTAAGAGTAACACATTATATGCACAATATTGAATTTCTATTTGAACCCTACCGAAATAAGTTTGCCTATATTTACCAAATGGTTTATTTTTCTATGACATAATTAATGCATTTTACCGAAAGCTAATTTGCTATTTACCGAAAGCTAATTTGCTATTAACCGAATGCAATAAAGTAATATTCGATAACTTGCGTTGTTGTTCGATATTTTGTCACGTGACTTCGAGATTTGCAAAATGGCCGCGCAGCTATTCTACATCGTACAAATATATCACTTGACTGAAAGTCTCGTAAATTATCGAAAAATAACGAAATTTATCGAATGTGGCATTCGGTATTTACCGAATATAAATAATTTAAATACCGAATGTACATATAATTAATTGAATTATACGTGCGTTAAGGAAAACAAATTGATTCGCTGCATCACACAAATGCATGTATACATATCAAATGTGAATGTCAATACAAAGAACAAGTGAAACTATTTAGCGAATATAAATTGTATAGATTATTACATTTCATAAAATAAAAAAACATTCGACAGAATGGGTAGAGGTTTGGTAAATTGTTTCTTTTATTTGGTATTTATGGAATATTAATGTACCGAATAAAGAAGCAGTTTAAACACCATACACAGCCACCAGTATAAGTATTATGAAGAAAATCAGTATCAGTAACTAAAGTTTATAATATTTTATTTTTTTGTTTATCTATTTTCATCAAATATGATTTGTATGCGTTTTGTATCTGTTGATAAATATTAAGTTATAAATGTATGAGAGATGTCGCTAGTGTAGTGTGATTGGTCTGTTACAAGTTTTCAACCGGTTGTTCATTTTATTGGGTCCACAGACTCCACACTTGCAATTTACGCCAAAACCCAAGCACCTACTTCCCCTCGATTTGGAAAATCAAGTCATCATGTACACCATCTCTAAAGTCACTGTTGAACATAGTATAATTGCGATACTGTTTTTCCAGTTGTACACTAGAAACCATAGTGTTTATGCAGTGCATGCCTTCATCATATCATAGTATCATATATATGCATATGTAAACAGAAAACAAGATATACTTATTGCAGCTGAGTATTTTTGTATTGAGCCATAGTATGATAAAATGTGACATTTTTTATATGATGCTTACAACACGTATATTACATGGTACATCTTGTATGTGGATAAAATTCGTGATTTCATGTTACATTTTGTAAATGCATACAAAATATTCTTATGGCGTAATATATAACTTTTGGTTTTGCCTGATTATTTTGAAATTCCCAGAATTTAATCTTGAGTCATAGCTTTCATGTTTAAATACTGCAAAAAATGCTCACGGAGTCCGACCTTGCACCCGATAGACATATCAGTTATTTAGCGGAAGTGCATTGGAACTTCAGAAAGTTTCTCCATCGAGTAATTAGAGCAGTTTTAGCGTCTCATACGTTTTTTTAAACAAGTCATGATTTTCATCTATTACTGAGAAAGCATATTACAATTTTTTAACAATGGAATAAAAATCTACAAACTTCACAAAAATTAATACACATACAATACAATACAATACAATACAATACAGTACAATGCAATTGCATTCTAAGTACTAAAAATCTATATTTTAATCAATGAAGATTTGATATTGCTTTTTACTGGAATTGATATTAGTTATTGCACACATTTATTGCACAATTCTGAAACCCATGGTGTTGAAAGTCCTAGAGAAAATTCATAATTGTATTTCATTTTTTCTAGGAATGGCCTAGATGGCACTATATGAAATTAAACGATATATTGTTTTGGCCACTGCGTTCAATTCGCTTTATTTGCTGAGCGTCCTAGGTAACTATTCATGACATCATACTGGAATGTTATCGAAACGTTTCCTTGACAACATCAACAAAGGAAGAACCATCGGGTAGTTTGCAATCATAGTCTATAAAGTGACATGCATCTCCCCAGTTTACATGCTGCTTTTCCGTTTCCCCATAGAATTTGCATTGTAGATTTACCTTAAACGTTCCTATATCTTTGATCTGAAATCAAATAAAATATTTGAATTTGGACATGGATGTATTGTTGAAATTATAGTAGCTGATTATTAATTTTCATCAAAATAGTTAATATTAAGATATACATGTATATGTTTTGGGGCAGAGTATTTATCATTTAATCTAATAAATAGCTTATAAAACTACATAATCAGATACAGTTAGTTATTCAGCCGTGTATACGTGTACATGTCCGTCATCTACGACTCTTCTCTTTTGGAGATACATGGCGCCCGGCCGATTGAGTGTTTTGTTCAAAATTGTATTCAATTTTGAACAAAAACTCAATCGGCCGGGCGCCATAGTGAAAATCGGAGCAAATGTGAACAAGGCAAAAATGAACTATTGACTACAATTTTGTTAACTTGATACAATCTACAAGTAGCAGTCAATAGAACTTTTCCAGCCGTCAACAGTACATTATAACGGCAAAATTAGCACCCAATCGACATCGAGTATTAAAGATGAATTGCTACCAGTCGACCAATGATGTTCGTTAATTTTATATTTTACTCGTTCAGAGCAAAAAAAGCGCCTATACCTCTGCTATTATTGGAATTTGTTGCCTGTTGCCTTTCTTTGCCATGTCAAACCCTGCTGTGTTCCATGTCGTAACATATGCCGTTTGGTTTTTCGCTGTGATCTCCTCTATGGTGACATTTCCCCCAAACACATTCAATGACCTGGAACATACGAGCTAGTTTTAGATCATAGGTTATAGGGATATTTTTCAATAAAGATGGCACTACAGTCAATCTATTTTACACAATCTTCTCGTTCATAAAATATACAGCTAAACTGGCTATCCACATGCGAATGTCGATGGAGGGGGCCCTATGGCACAGAAAAAATTTGGACCTTTGTACCTTATCGCAGTGTACCCCCATGATTTATAAAACCATCACTATTACCATCCGTTGCTAATCCGTACTTTGGGAATTATAGGATATGTAGGCATAGGCACCTAACGACTGCGTAAATTGTCAATAGTAGGGTTGCGCTAACATCAATCAGAATTAACGAGCAATGAGTATTAGCTGTTGTAAGCAAAGCCCTGGGACGTCATAATGACATTCTAGCACAGATTAGCGCATGGTTACAAGAAAACATATATAGAACGAGCAATAACAAGTATTAGCTGTTGTAAGCAGTGCCCTGGGACGTCATAATGACATTCTAGCTCAGATTAGCGCATGGTTACAAGAAAACATATATAGAACGAGCAATAAGTATTAGCTGTTGTAAGCAGTGCCCTGGGACGTCATAATGACATTCTAGCACAGTATAGCGCACGGTTACAAGAAAACATATATAGAACGAGCAATAAGTATTAGCTGTTGTAAGCAGTACCCCGGGACGTTATAATGACATTCTAGCACAGATTAGCACACGGTTACAAGAAAACATATATAGAACGAGCAATAAGTATTAGCTGTTGTAAGCAGTGCCCTGGGACGTTATAATGACATTCTAGCACAGATTAGCACACGATTACAAGAAAACATATATTAGAGAACGAGCAATAAGTATTAGCTGTTGAAAGCAGTGCCCTGGGACGTCATAATGACATTCTAGCACAGTATAGCGCATGGTTACATGACAAAAAAGGGCGCGGTTAAAAAGGTGAAAATGAAAGTAGATATTATCAAAGCGTTCAAGAACCTCTTTCTCAAAAAACCGTAACACAGCATTTATGAAAAAAAACTACAGAGTATTAGAAAAAATGTATTGTCAAGGACGTACTTGATATAATTGCTGTTGTTGATGTCTACATTTTTTTATTTTTGATCGGCAAACTGCATTAAAAAGTTACATTAATGAGTTAAATGCGAAACAACAAAATGCTATTGATAAATACTTCGTTGGAATACGATTTTATTCAATATGGCAAAAATCATACTAATGAGTTGAAAGGAAAAACAATGTCCAAAAACCCAAAACTTTGATTTGAAAAGAAAAACTGACTGTCACCACCTCAACCTCACTAGTTGTAATCTAAATTTTTGAGCAGAAATTACCAATGTAACTTGTGTGTCGTGGCTTGCTTTATTGATTGATGACAAGATGCGAATTGAAAATGGTGTAAGGTAGGACTTAAGTAAGACCGTATGACTATAGGTTGATACAACGAATAGATATATGAATGAATGAATAAATATATATATAAAAAGGAAAATGTACAAAATACAATCATAGTAGTCAAACAATGAACATAGTCACCGAAATCATTTTGTGCACATCGATATTCCGCTCTCTTTACATTTAATTTGATAGACCCCTTTTCGCATTGAGAAACAAGCAATAATTGATCGCTTATCAAATTCTACGACACTAAACACTCATCTTGGAGATGAATCTAAAGAATCTAAATGGGAGACACAATTTCAATATGTTTATTCTGCAGTTCTGTATTGCATTGTAAACGTCCGATACGAAATTATCAGTCGGATGCGTTTTGCCTCACTCTCCGGTTTATTGTGTATCGGTATTAATTTGTTTAAAAAAATACGTCTCAAATGATCAAAAGATTCGCCCTTAGTATGTTTTCTGGAAGTAGTGTTTTCTGAGATTTTCCAATGATAAACGGATAGTGATTATGTCTTCCCCTTACGGTTTATATCAATATGTAACTGGTATCTCTCCTTTCGTGATATTCAATAACTTCAAGCTGGTTTACTTTATTACTATAATTCTTGCTTAATCAACTTTTTCAATGTAATTTTTCATTTTTTGGAACTTGACAATGTCATTTTTCTCAAGGGCCATTATTCTTAGACAAGCTGATCAATATACGTATAAGCCTTGCAAGATTCTAAGACGTGGATTCAGCCTAACACTGGGGCATCGATTTTTTATTTTACCCTTGAAGATATCCACTAGTCGTGGAAATGGGGGATGTTTATTAATACATTTATGATAAACTATGAAATAGTCGAAGCTGAAGAACCCAGACTTTCTGTTCTCAGGTACTTTGGAGGTCTTTATATTTCATGTTGAATTAAAGACTACAAATCGTAATTCCTAGTCTTATGACCACCAATGTGACCAAAGCATCAAAAATCCCAACGAGTAGCAAGACTCGCGTAGAATAGTAAATGAAGGGGGTGGGGTCCAGAGGCTGGATGCAAATTAAATTTACTTCGTTTCGTCTGAACTTTGCTGTATGAGTAACCGGGATAAGTATGTATGCCGCTGTAGGTGTTCCTCTTGTTGCATGCATACGGTGGCTGATTTAAATGATAAAATATACATGACTACATGTATGCTACATATGTTGTATATGTATGGGTTTCTGGGTCTGTCTTCCAGGATTACTTGCGTAAACTACGACCGCACATTTACGGGATATACTCTAAAGGTATTGCTCACCTTTACCGGTGGTTAACAAAATACAATAGAGAGGTTAAGTTGCACATAGGGAGAACTTGAACGTAAACCTAATATGCAATTTTATGACTTCCGAAAATCGTTTTCTACCTTTTACTCATCCTTGGCCCAAGAGTAATTCATTGCATCACATGATCTGCTATGAAAGCAGTGAAGGACCGATCTTGAAGAATGCCTTTTACTTCTCCTGACAGAAATCAAAACTGTATTTAACAACGTTCTGGACATCCCCCTAGGGTACTATACTAGTACCCTATATCTAGTAACTGACGTTTACACCGATAAACAACAATATTATGACCCCAGTGATAACTTTCCTTCTCTCAGTTGGTTTTTTCCATAATATTTTTTTCATGTACACGTTCACGTTCAAGTTCTCTTACGTGTGGCTTAACCTCCATAGTTGCTGTTTACGCATTTGCGTACGCATCTACTGCAATGTTATGTTAGAGGCATAAACAGTAAAGAACACTGGAGAACAGTAACAAAAGGCTACTAGCACAGGAACTTGAATCAACTGGCATTAACCAACCTGGAAGACAGACCATGCATTATCACTAAAATTATTTTACTATAATGAATATGCCTATTATTCTCCCAGGTTCTGCCACCCGATAGATATCAGAAGTTGATACAGGTTTCTGTTGCTACTAGGTGAATCGAATAAATAAGACGTTATACTTACAAAATCTCTTTGTGTGGCTTAACAGATATTTCCATGATATAATTTGCGTTAACATTGAGCTTAAGTGTCCTCGCCTGGTTAAATCGTCCTCCATCAACTTTAAAATGTATCGGGTCCCCCTGTTCGGTTTTAAGTCCGACCAGGACTTTAAAAACTTGAGGCATAATCTAGAGCTGCTGATATTAATACCCAAGAGAGGCTAATTGAGTTACCGTTTGTTTGAGAGTGATCGATATTCGATACCTAGGTCAGTAGCCTCGACACACACCCCCTGTATACTGTATAGTAATAACATCGAGTCGTTCCTTCCTCATGTATGCATGTAAACGGTGCCTTGACAGGAGATAAGGTTTATACTCAATGGTGTATTTTATCGTATTTAGTACTATTCACACGCTCATAAATGTAAACAGCCACGATCATCTTAATCACACAGTCAAGTGCAGAGTCCCATATAACACACAACGCTCTATTACTATTTACTATATTCTTTTTTATTTTATTCTATAATATCTACTTTACACTCCTATCCCCAATTTTAACTATTTTGCTGTACACAACAAAGCACTGCATACTCCAAATTACTATTAATTACTATAGACTCCCAATTACTATTTTACTATACATCCTCAATTACTATTGAGTATACAGTCACAATTACTATTGACTATACTCTCCCAATTACTATTGACTATACACTCCCATTACTATTTAGTATTCACTCCAAATTACTATTGACCACCCAATTACTATAGACTATACAACGCCCCAATTACTTTTGACTATACATTCCCAATTTATATCTACAATGCATTACTATAGACATATGTTTTGACAAATAGTTCGAGATGAGTATATGATCATTATTAGCTATAAAAAAGTGTAGGGAACAATGTATAGATGTCTCGTCAAATTGTCAAACTATGACAGGTAGCCAGGACTCGCAGATTGCAGTCTACTTATTTTAAAGTATGTTATACTTCACCCTGTCCCATTGTGTATGGGACATTTTTAATAAGCTGAGGTTTTAGATATTTTCATGGACTTATCTTGGGCGAACTTTGAAACAATTTATGGGTTTACTCATTTAATTCAAGACCCGTTTCTTTGTCATTTATTGCTGGAGACTTGTTCATAGTGTGGTCACAAATTATCTATATACAGGGTGTTAAAAAAACGCAACCCAAAGAAATCACTATATCTTGGAAAATACTGATGCAATTATGTTCATTTTTTCAGGAAAGAAAGAAGAGACTGTGTATGTATAGCTCGTGTAGTTGGTTAGTCACAAAACGTGATGCCTTAGACACCTGCTCAAAAGACATTAGAATTGGTAAGATACAAAAAACGCAGTCAGCGGTGACTGCCACAGCAATAAAACAGAATAACTTTCTAATCATTTTTAGCACTTCAAATTTGGCACAAAGCATCATCATTCACTGTATGGTAAATCTGTAGAGTGAAATCAAAATCACTCCAGGGACTTTACAGTTATGGTCGAAATGCGTTCAAAACGCAGTCAAACGCCCTGGTTCAGGCATACTTAAGAAGGCATTTTGACCATGACTCTAAAGTCCCTGAAGTGATTTTGATGAAACTCCACAAATTCACCACACATTGAATGAGGATAATTTGTGCCAAATCTGAAGTGCCAAATCACTATGGTTAGAAAGTTATTCAGTTTTATTGCTGTGGCAGTCACCTTTGACTGCGTTTTTTGTATCTTCCTAATACTAATGTATTTTGAGCAGGTGTCCAAGGCTTCATGTTTTACAAGTAAATAACTACAGGACCTCTACATGCACAGTCTCTTCTTTCTTTCCTGAAAAAATGAGTGCAATTGGATAAGTATTTTCCAAGATATAGCGATTTCTTTGGGTTGCGTTTTTTTTGAACACCCTGTATCTCATCAACATAAAAATAACTTAATATTGTAGAGAAGGGCGTTGTGTGTGAGATATTGGACAGAACACAAGCGCGATGACTGTACTTCACATAGTTTTAAAAATCAAAAGATCGTTCATTGAAAATAAGGACGCGCAAGAAATTGTTTGGTGAATGAATTCAGTGATTTGACCATTTAATTTTTTTTATTTTGAAACGTTGTCGTCCACGATCTTTAAGGGGAGCAGTCGCTCGGTGTCATTGTTTGATTATAAATTATCAAGATATAGTCAGGGATTTTTGTAGTTTTGCATATCGAACTTTGTTATTAAGGAAAAAAGCTTTAATAATGCCAAGCTTTAATATGCTATCAAATTGAATTTCCCAGTTACGAAACTTATGGAGGGGAGTGTGTAGATCAGAAAAGCATGAGTTATTCCCAAAAATATTCCCGGTACATTATTTATCAATGATGAATAACATTCCTCTTTTAATTACCCATGCCTAGAGTGTATCTGTACAGTCATGTTTATTTCACGCATTTTCCCCCAAAACGTGATCGTGAACTGCCTAATTTTGGTCAGTTATTTGCCGCTAATTTTGAATGCTGGTTTACTCTTACAAAATGTTGCTGATTTGTCCTTTTGCACTCGATTCTTATCACTTTGGAACATGACCTTCCCCTTCATAGAATATTCTTCACGAGCAAGTGTCATTTTAATTAATTTTGGCCCCTGGTATATAAATTAATATCTGATATTTTGGAAATTAGTCAACTTGCCTAAAGTAGTTCTTTATTCGAAATAAATATTACAGTAAATAAGGATATTTCCTTCAAGTTATACTTGTGACCAAGCTATGGGACCATATCAAATCCATATTGGGACAAATTTATGGCATTGAAATAAAATCGAAATTTCACAACAAGCCATTCAACAAGTACATCATGACATTTTACCTATAGTAATTGTGTGAAGCCGTTTTCAACATTATTTAGCAAACAAAACAAGTCAAAACCAGTCCGTAACGTAAACATAAAACGTTGATGTTGGTACGACCCATTTGAATGAGCATTTTTCATAATATAAACAGATGCATTAGAATTTATTAGCAGATATAAGCAAAAGAATGAAAACTGAAATGTGATACAATTTGGAGGATATAGAATCAGTTATCAAAGTAAACACATTGCATGTATGTTCTATGTATGTACCAGTATTTATAAACAATCGGATAATCTCGAAGAAGCACAATCGAGAAGTCAACAAAAGTAGGTAACTATGCTATCATTTAACCTTTTCTAAAATAGAATTATAATTTACATGGATATCATGGAAAAGTAATTGTTGTTTACAGACTCATGTAAATGGACTGGTGCATGTAGAATGTAGTAAATATAAATTGTTTTGTTATAAAAAGACTTTTGTATCCATACTGGACGAAAAGACATGTATAAAGCAGCATTGTTTGATAGGGGGGGGGGGGCACATTTGAGTTTAAGGGAAGTGATGATATCCATTTCTTCATTTTTACATCTTGAATTGTAATAAACTCTAATTTAGTCGAGTGCAATTACTCAGATGCGAGAAGGTAGTAACCAGTTTTGCCACCAGGTGGCTAATTCGGGGGAAATAACATAACATGGCAGGGTATTACAAAGTTCCCTTAAACTTGAATAATCATCAGTTTTAGTGGCTCACTTTTCATATTACTCTTATGTAACTGATAGTTACAGAAATTAAAATATGTCCAGTAAAAGAAAATATTATCCGCCCAATACAAGAAAAGATATTTCACTTTTTGTGATTTTGTAACATGGGTTCTATGGGGAATCTCCTCGAACTAGAAGTCACATTTTCAAAGAAAATTAAATTTTCAAAGTTGATTAACTCTTTCTCCGCGTTTGTAGATGTATTTTTACATGTAGATTCCAAATATGACATAACTTTGACTGCATTTGAATATTTAATGACGTAAATCAAGATTAGTTCTACTCGCATGTAGTCTATTGTAATAAACTCTAATTCAATATTGAGGCAATTGTCTCACATGCCTCTATATGCCTCTATATGCCTCTATATGCACATGCCTCTACAATCAAACCTCATTTATTAGAATTCCATATTGGCAATGTAGTAAAACTGGGTCAATAATAAAAAACGTGTAAACAACCCCCTTGAAGTTCAAATGATAAAAGTACGTTTAACTGAGTATGTCGACAACTTTGTCAATAGGCATTCAACAATGAATAGAATCTGTGCAGAAGAATCAGAGGTGATGCCAGAGAAACGTCCCTAATTTGGAATTAAAGACTTTCTCCGTTCCAGAAGCTTTGCTTTCTAACATATATTGGTCAATACCATTCTGATACACATCGCATATTTTTGTTTCACTATCAATATGCTCAATTTCATGAGGATTTAGAATGAAAGATATGCCATGGTTTATTATGATGGCTTAATACATTGTCTGGGCAATTCATAGAAAAACAGACACTCTCAATTACAACGTTATTAAATATAAATTGATCATTTTATCAATTAGTAAAACCTTCTTGCAATCATTATATTTATTTCGAATTTACCGGGAATGAAATGTCAACTTTGTTAAATTCCCTAATTAATTGCACGAATATGTGTATCAATAATAGACGATTAAGGTAAACGTCACATATGTATAATGCAGAGATTTGACAGAAACACTGGAAAATCAAATAATTAATTCATTTTTGAGAAATAAATGGAAAAACCTCATGGCACGAATGAAATGTTATTTACAGGTTAATTGGAATTCCTATAGAGTCGTGTTTCGTTGTGATTATGTAAGTTAAATGTATATACATATATAAAGGAGAATGGAACAATTAGAATGCACAGATCAATTGTCTGTTACGATGCTAGAGACAAATTTGGGTTTCAAGATAAAATTTGAGCCAGACTTAATAAAATATATTACGAAATAACAAAAAAGGATTAGATTCTTCAAAATATTTGATTTTATGGGTGAAGAGTAACAGACGAAAAGTAAATAAACATAACAAACAAAACAAAGATGTTTCGTTTGACTTGTGGATGCTTTGAAAGGACATGTTCGTGTGTTCTAGAATCGGGAACAAATATGCATCATCCTCATTTACAAGGTAAGATGAACGCCGACTTCGTATCGCTTAAATCTAAACACTTTTCAGGAATAAGGAAAATAATACGGTTTATTATGAAAATTTGTTTTCTTTGTATTGATTGAGTTTCTAGGAGGAGCACACTTTGTTGTGATATTTGCGAACTTGGCGGATCAGAGCCTGGATGGGATTCACGGGGTTAATATTATAACCCGGGTTCCGTTACAAGGAAATCAGGATATACAGCCTAAACCCCGTCATTTCTTCTCAGCCCTGAAATGTTTCAGGTGAAACAGAAAGATGCTATGCATTATGAGTATCCATGCCTAAACCCCTTTCTTTAATTTTTTTCCTTGCTCCGGTGTTTAATGTTCTGAACAGTTGTGATCTTTAACAAATGCGACAAAAATGAAGAAACCTTTAATTATCATACTATAATAGAGTTTCTGTTGGTTTCTTATGTAAACTACCATATAAGGACAATGTACTTTATTGTTGGTATTATGACTAAAGTTCCTTTTCATGATATCTTACCCGTGCTTAATTTTAATCCATTTGTACTAATACACAAAATTTCACTCTGCGATTTAAACAAAGAATCTAGTTTTTAAAGTTATATTGGTACACCTCAAGTTCACATCGTTCACTCTTATTCCTCCGTCCAAAAAATATCATTAGTATTTTATTTTCTATTTGCAGATACAATATTATACGTTGTTTACGTACATATTACAGACGTAATACGATATGTATACGTTTACGGATTTTATCAACTGGATGCAAGTTCGGGGTCAAGAATTATCTTGGCTTTGAAACCCGTGAAGAATTATAGATAATTATAGAATTATAGATAATTATAGAATTATAGATAAATATACCATGACAATGACAACATTAGCTAAATACAAACACACTTCCTCTATCGAACATTCTCAAAATTGATTACCATAAAGCCATAAAGGTGTCTCACGTAATGGGAAATAAGGAAATGCTACTCATAAAGATATGTAATAAATTAGAAAAATGTTTTATCATTTTGCAATATTGCTACTGACAAACCCTATTCAAAAGTCTTTGAAAGTGAAAGTATCTGTCATTGTCTGTCACATTAAGATTCAATTTTTGAATAAGGTGACAGAATAAAGTCACAATGTTTTATCATTTTGAACATCGCTGTCAACAGGTTATTTGTCATTGTCTGCAACATTGATTTCAGGAAAAAGGCGACAAAATAAAATCACATTGTTTAAATATCATTTTGAAGCATATTTGTCGATTATACATGTTATATAGTCCAGATATAATTTAAAATGTCATGAATTAGCTCGTCATTAATTGATAATGAAGCTAAAACAAGCGTGCCTCCGTAAACATTTTTTCAGTATTTCTTATGAATATTACCCAGTTTTCCATTGATGACAGTCGTACGCCTGACCTCTACGTCCGCGTGTATCCATCGAACCATTTTAGTATTAAACCACAGAGTAACGAATACATTACTAATATCAATATAACAATAAGTTTTGAAAAGTGAATGAAAATGATTCACCAATTGTTCCTAATTATTTCTTCCTGCTTTATTCATGAGTCAAAATCTTGAAATAAACTGGTCTTGAATTCTTTAAAACCGCTATAAGGAAATGAATATCTTACAATAGCTGGCTGAATAAAAATATTTCCCACAAAAGAATTGAAAGTAAACCTTTAATGGCATTACGTCATTGGGAATCCACCTGGCAAGTGACTAAGATCTTACTTTGTTAGTTTATAAAAATATTACCTATTTAAAAAAAAAATCGGAAAAAATCTCAAAAATGATCAATACACGGCGTTATGTCTACCATACGCATTATAGGTATTATGTATAAATATTAAATGTATTATGTGTATATTATATACTGTATGATATCTTTAAGCGGAACTACAATAACATTCTATTTGTATAAGAAATGAGACTCAACAATTAAATATAACATTCACCTGGGAATACTGGACGTGTGATTTCATTCCAAGTATTACCCACACAATTTTGGAAAAACATTACCCAATGTCTTTTATGTAAACAAACTATTATGTTTTTAAATAAATTAAACATGAAATCGGAAGTAAAGGCCATCGATTACTACTCAAATGCGATATAAAAACTTGGGTAGTAGGGACACAGTACTGTTTGTTTTTCACCTTAGTCATAAGATTGGACCCATGCCAATCTCTATCAATAGACAAATATAAATAAGTGTACTTCTCTCTGATATTACTATCAAGTGAATTGAGATTAACGACAAAGAAATATAACTACTGGATGTATCACTAGTGTTCTTGGAGAAACAAATTAAAAATTGTTAAACTTAAAAAACGTAGAAATTGTTAAACTTAAACAAAGACATCAAAATTGTTAAAGCTTCATTAACCGTAAGTATTAGTTTGTTGTATGAATTCCATTTGAATTAAATTAATATTTGGAATCCAATTAATCGCATCTCGGAATAAAACTTATTTGACTATTTATAACAAAAAGTGCAAAATTTTCAAATGTGAGGGCTAAATATTGTTTTGTACCTGTTGTCATGTCAACAAGTCAACCTGCTTTATATTTTGCACGTTTATATTAACCATTAATGAAGGAATTAAGGAATAAATCCAAAAAAACATTAAGGAATAAATCACAAAAAGTAAAATATCTTCATTGCAAAAATATACAGAAAAATAACGAGTGTTTATCTTAATAAGCATTTAGTATAGATTTTGATACACTTTATTCATTTTTTCTGGCATGACAGCATTATACTGCAAAAAGTAGAATTTTCCGCTTTTTTATTGTTACAAAAGTTTGGATGTCTTCTGAATATCGTCCGCTTATTGTCAAATGTGCTATGTATTATCAAACGTTCCATACATTTAGATAATATGTTATATATGTGCTATATGTTATTAAAAATATATTTACTAGAATGGTTCCGCTCGTTAAAATGTAAATGTCCAGGGGCGTTAGGAAATTTTACATATAAAATAGATTTCAAACGAAGACAGTCAACAACTCTTCACAGAAAAGCTCGATTAACAAAACATGAACATAATCCTAGACATTTGTTGGCTAAAAAACAAACATGGGAGCGAGTTGAATAGTTTTCTAAAAGTAAACAGAACTAAGTAGTTCGAAGAAAGCTTTTGAAGAACTTTATATTGATCTGACATTCTTAAACAATGTAAATGTAAAGAACATGTACTATATTGAATTAATGGTATTTAAGAACCGTTCTACGCAACGATATGATACAATATATACAATACAATAATTAATACAATACAATTCAATTAATACAATACGATACAATACAATTAATACAATACAATACAATTCAGTTAATACAATACAATTCAATTAATACAATACAATACAATACACTTCAATTAATACAATACAATTCAATTGATATAATACAATACAATTCAATTAATACAATACAATACAATTGATACAATACAATTCAATTAATACAATATAATACAATACAATTCAATTAATACAATACAATTGATACAATACAATTCAATTAATACAATATAATACAATACAATATAATTAATACAATACAATTCAATTAATACAATACCATTCAATTAATACAATACAATACAATAAAATTAATACAATAAAATTCGATTAATACAATACAATACAATTCAATCAATACAATACAATACGTCGATATAAGACGACAATGCTAACTATAATTGACATCACATTACCAGGAAAATCATGTCACTTGAAGCTAGTGTTTCATCCTATTTCCCTGTTTTCCTGAATTATCAGATTGTAGTAATATAAAATAAATACTCGAGAGAAGAAAAACAAAAACAATGATATGATACATAGGTCTTACATTGGGATCGTTCGCGAAAATGTGTGCTCTGCGATTTCGTTTTATTTTAATATCTTAATGGTGGAAACTTAAAGTTTCATCCTAATAATAATTTGGATTAATGATTCTCCAATAGCGCCATCTATTGACGAGTGTTGGCTTCGCAAGGCATAAACACGTGCCATTCCTCGTTATTGGGACACCGTTTCTGTCACAGACGCAGACACCGCTTGGACTGATCGGATGCCACACTTGCAAAAGGGGAAATGCTAGAACTAATGACAGAAAATAACAAGAAAAAATAATAATTTCAGACAACATCCAGACATAAGCAAAACAAATCCAAAATAACCCGAATTTTAATTTAACTGAAGTTTTACACATCGATCCGACAGCTATTCAGCAGATAAATGAACAAACAAAAACTAATTTCATATTATTTCTTTCTTGCTGATTTTTTGTTATCTTATTTCAGATTGTCAAATCAAGAGCAGGGAAAATACCAGGAATTCAAATGATAGATCATTCAGATTACTGCCCCCTATTCCAAATGTGGATGCATTGATTGCCGAGAAATCATCTCATAACAAAATCTCGCAATCATGCCCATCTCGTGACAATTCCACGAAGACTATCAAAGAACCTGCAAGACAAATTAAACGAAATACATTTTTAGTGCACGAGCCCAGCATCTTCACTGTATCTGACAATAAGGAAATACATGACAATAAGGACGTATGTGACAATAAGGAAACCAGTTCTTCAGATTTCACCATGGATGGCGTCGCAAATAAAGCAATCAATAATGAGTCACCGACATCAGGATCTGCTCCTATACACGAGTATGATTTCTACGAGACAGACACGCGTGAAGATGATAGTCTTACCCAAAGTGAGAAATGCGGAGTGGAGAGTGTTAAGATTACTTTTCAGCATTCAATATCTCAGTCGACGGACTCAGAGTGCGATGACAGACTAGAAAACATGTACACTGAACCCTTAAGTACAGTTGATTACCTTTCGCCATTCGACAACATGGCTATTGATCTAGCCCAACATACCGATGCCGAAAGACTCAAAAGACCCACAAGTCTTTCTTTTGAGGAGACCGATGGCTACGTGCCGTCTTTACGGAGGAATAAAACAGCTTTAAGACGGGCTCGCTCAGGAAAGCTAGAAAATGGAAGCATAATGGACTACATTAGCATTAGCATGGTCAGTCCTGATTTAGCGGATAAGGTAATGGACTGGGCAATTCAACCGAAATCCCCCAGCGAAAGTAAACTGAGTTTGCCTGAGAAGCAACCGAATAAATGTAAATGTATATATTTCAAGAATCTCTGGGCATTCCTGATTGCATTCATTATGTGTATTGCACTCGCTGCCCTTATCTTCTACACAGAAGGCTACTTTGTCCCGAAAGAGATAAAGACTCCAGCAACCAATGGGACCAATTTAAAACTATCTGATGTTGTTCCACTGGTCACTGATAACAAACACAACGGAACGGTTTCAAACGTAACATACCCAACGGTAGAAGAGTCCAAACTACCTCCAAAAGTCAGTATTAATTGGCCACCAAATGCTGGCTTAGCGTTTGCATTAGCGATAACCTTATTGATTGCTTTCGCTGTTGCGATATCCAAACGGGCTCGTTGTATAGCTCTGTTGACACTTCCCGGCATAACAACCTCTCGTGGTAGAGCGATTATGTTGACGATTATATTACGACTGTTGGTTACTGGTCCAATAACGAATACATTGGACAATGCAAAGAAAATCCCCGAAGCGACATCGTGTCAAGTTGAAATGTTAAGCAAAGAGGTGAAGGCCATTCAATCAGATATCTTAGCGAGAATTCATGAATACAGTAAGGAGTTTGAAGAAACGGCGAGAAGAATGTTTGCACTTCAGATTGAGACGTTAAAAAGAATTATTGATGCCCCGATACGAACCTTGGAGAGTGTGTTATCAGGGTTTCAGAATATCAAAATTGATATCAGTGGCGTGAATGCAAGTATAATTGTAAATAATATAACATTCTATGCTCATGACGTCGAGGATTATGCAAATGAAGTTGATGCGATTCGTTACTTTGAGCGCCCTAATGTAACGGGAACTGACAGTCTCTCTACTCTTGGTGGTAAACTTAGTGCCGAGTTTGAAGACAAAACGTATGTTATCCGCCAAGTGTTGTCTGTTCTAGGTAGTGTCCTCTCTGTGTCCGTTCTTTTAGTGTTCATCCAAGCGTGTTGTTATCACCGTGGTTACAGGCGTCATCTCGACCATGACAATATTTACATAACACACGGATTCAAGAAGTTAGATCAAGAAAGACGGGGACACTTGAAAAAGACATTACTTCCTTTGCGGAGGAAGGAGCGATCTCAGTTGATTGATTCCACATCGTGTTGTTTATCAGGACAAGAACGTGTGGCGATCCTTTGGGGCTTAATCATCATTCTACCATTCTTGGCAGCTGCTGTTCTCTTAATCGGACTTGATTTTGTTTTATACCGAACACTGGAGGTGATTCGCAAGGAAGCTAATGTGACTGTGTCTATAGATGGCGGTAGTGGATTCAAAATTGTTCTTAATGATACCAGCCCCCGTATCAAGCAGCTGTACTATCAAGAGGTACCACTGTTGTTCAACAGTAACTCAACGAGTTTCAACTATTCAATGGAAATCAACACCGAGCGATGTCTGCCCGATCCATTGCCTCCATTCTACGAAAACACCACCAAACTTGGATACTTAATCGGTATGTTCGTTGGTATTTTTGTCTTGACAATTTTACAGTCGTACGGAATACGACTCCAACATAAGATCGCGGCGACGTATTACCCGATACGAGAACAACAACGAGTCGTTTATCTTTACCATAACATGATGACGCAACGTGTGACGTTCGCGCAACTATTACTGGGAAAATTCATGAACCGAAACAAATTCGTCGATCAGGATATAGGATTTCGACGATGGCTTGCAGCTAAAAGTCCACGTTTCGGTCGAGTAATGAAAACGATAGGAATGCTTACTGAACATTCATGCGTGAGTTGTGGCTCATTGAAGAATCTGAGACAGATCAGTGATGAATGGTGTTGTCGAACGTGCATCAATCGTTTAGACAAAACTAGCAAAACAATTAGCAAGTCGCTGAGTATTAAATCTACTCCCACCAAATATTCCACATTGCCAAATACACATGTTATTTAAAGACTAATGCTGGCGTATTAACATGTTACATCCTTACTTTGACATGGTACAAGAGTTCAGAATTAGTAAGTTTAGTCAAAAAGCATAGCTGAATACTCAATTTTCATTGGTTAAACTAAAGGACTTTCTAAAAACAATTATACTGAATCGTAATAAGATGCATCAAATAACATTCGGTGTTAACACAGATCTCCATGACAACTCAATTCATTTAAACATGAATCTGTAATTTCTAAAATATTATTTCATTTGGGTTATGCTCCAGACCATACTACCATGGTTTCGAATTCATACTACATGGTGTATTTAAAATCTGTAAATACATAGTGTGACCCTATACAGGTTTTTGACGAAAACAGCCGACTCTGATTTAAGTAAATCCTTATCCTATGTAATACACAGTGTAATATAGAAATGCCTATATTATAACATGATGTTCACTTTTGTCAAGACGCATAATTTATATGTTATTTTGGTCATGTAAAAGTTTTTGGGAATCATAGGTATTTTATAAGGTAATACTGTTTAAGGTAACACTGTGCAGGGTTACACTGTATAAGGTTTTACTGGAAAGGGTTACACAGTATAAGGTTTCACTGTGCAGGGTTACACTGTATAAGGTTTTACTGGAAAGGGTTACACAGTATAAGGTTTCACTGTGCAGGGTTACACTGTATAAGGTTTTACTGTGCAGGGTTACACTGTATAAGGTTTTACTGGAAAGGGTTACACTGTATAAGGTTTTACTGGAAAGGGTTACACTGTATAAGGTTTTACTGGAAAGGGTTACACTATATAAGGGTTTTACTGGAAAGGGTTGCACTGTATAAGGTTTTACTGGAAAGGGTTCCACTGTACAAGGTTTTACTGGAAAGGGTTACACTGTATAAGGTTTTACTGGAAAGGGTTACACAGTATAAGGTTTCACTGTGCAGGGTTACACTGTATAAGGTTTTACTGGAAAGGGTTACACTGTATAAGGTTTTACTGTGCAGGGTTACACTGTATAAGGTTTTACTGGAAAGGGTTACACTGTATAAGGTTTTACTGGAAAGGGTTACACTGTATAAGGTTTTACTGGAAAGGGTTACACTATATAAGGGTTTTACTGGAAAGGGTTGCACTGTATAAGGTTTTACTGGAAAGGGTTACACTGTACAAGGTTTTACTGGAAAGGGTTACACTGTATAAGGTTTTACTGGAAAGGGTTACACAGTATAAGGTTTCACTGTGCAGGGTTACACTGTATAAGGTTTTACTGTGCAGGGTTACACTGTATAAGGTTTTACTGTGCAGGGTTACACTGTATAAGGTTTTACTGGAAAGGGTTACACTGTATAAGGTTTTACTGGAAAGGGTTACACTGTATAAGGTTTTACTGGAAAGGGTTACACTATATAAGGGTTTTACTGGAAAGGGTTGCACTGTATAAGGTTTTACTGGAAAGGGTTACACTGTACAAGGTTTTACTGGAAAGGGTTACACTGTATAAGGTTTTACTGGAAAGGGTTACACTGTATAAGGGTTTTACTGGAAAGGGTTACACTGTATAAGGTTTTACTGGAAAGGGTTACACTGTATAAGGTTTTACTGGAAAGGGTTACACAGTATAAGGTTTCACTGTGCAGGGTTACACTGTATAAGGTTTTACTGGAAAGGGTTACACTGTATAAGGGTTTTACTGGAAAGGGTTACACTGTATAAGGTTTTACTGGAAAGGGTTACACTGTATAAGGTTTTACTGGAAAGGGTTACAGTGTATAAGGTTTTACTGGAAAGGGTTACACTGTATAAGGTTTTACTGGAAAGGGTTACACTGTATAAGGTTTTACTGGAAAGGGTTGAACTGTATGAGGTTTTACTGGAAAGGGTTCCACTGTAGAAGGTTTTACTGGAAAGGGTTACACTGTATAAGGTTTTACTAGAAAGGGTAATACTGTATAAGGTTTTACTGGAAAGGGTTACACTGTATAAGGTTTTACTGGAAAGGGTTACACTGTATGAGGTTTAACTGGAAAGGGTTTAAGGGTTACATTGTATAAGGTTTTACTGGAAAGGGTTACACTGTATAAGGTTTTACTGGAAAGGGTTACTCTGTATAAGGTTTCACTGGAAAGGGTTACACTGTATAAGGTTTTACTGGAAAGGGTTACACTGTATAAGGTTTTAATGTAAAAGGGTTACACTGTATAAGGTTTTACTGGAAAGGGCTACACTGTATAAGGTTTTACTGGAAAGGGTTACACTGTATTTATTTAAGGGTTTTACTGGAAAGGGTTACACTGTATAAGGTTTCACTGGAAAGGGTTACACCGTATAAGGTTTTACTGGAAATGGTTACACTGTATAAGGTTTTACTGGAAAGGGTTACACTGTAGAAGGTTTTACTGGAACGGTTAGTACTGTTTTGACTTAATTTCAAAATAATATTTTTATTCTAAGGTAACTGACGACATCTTTCCATCCATTCTAACTCTTTTATTGTATCGAATATTGTATCAAATATTGTATCAAATATTGTATCAAATATTGTACCAAATTGCATTCTTTAGATGCTGTGTGTTTTACATCGTTTTAGTCAAATTGAATTTATTTATTTTGATATACATGTATAATGTTGCGTCCTTTATTTTGTTTTGGTGCAACGCATATTAATTATGTATACCATATTTGTAAATATTTTAATGTAATATCGCAATTTTATTTAGATATACGTTACATGTATATCAGAAATTAAAAAAACTCTTCTTAGAGGTTATATGTTTACTTTTCATATTCGACAGAAGTTTGCTTCAATACAATATAACAAGGTTGTTGAAACTTTTGATATTACAATGTTTTATAGTTCATGCGCCAAGGGTACCTACAAATTAGGTACATACAATAAGTTATTTCTCTGAGTAACTTTTATGGTAAAGTTAACTTAGGTTATATCAACATCATTATGCCTGAGTTACTGTTCTCGAATTGATTTACCAGTCATCCACAGGTATACCACTTAAAGAGATTATATTCAATGCCATTTAAGGTAAAACTTACTATAACAGTTCAAACATTCTTTATTTATTTGTATGCTTTATACGCAAAATAAACATCAATCGCAGACAATTGAAATCTCGTCACCGTCTTATCAAATCGTGTCTGTGAAGTAAGCTACTAGAATTATCATGTTATGACTACAGTGCCATTGTTTCAAAGGGAAACAGAGATCACATTTTGCAAGAAGCTTTCAAAGAAATAGTATGAAGCAGAAAATTGTAATTTGCAAGAATATAAATAATTAAAGCTGGCTGGTTACAATTTCAAATAAAAAATATATATCAAAAGAAATTGTACAGCAGAGAAATTGTACAGCAGAATCCTTTGACAATAACATACACTGCTTTTATAAAACTTTCAACCATTTCTATCATTTTAGGAACGCCTATCCATGAAACACAAAGGACGGTAAAATAAGACACTTTAACAAGCGTTCGTTTTTGGCGCAACATCCTTTCAATTATCCCATTGATCAGAATCGATCAACTATTATACCAAGATTCCAAAACTTGCGCCACGTGCAGCAAAATATATAAATGTAACCCACACTATTACAAACATGAATAAAAAAAGTTACCAAAATTAAAACAATAAATAATAAAAAGTTTTATTATCCTTATTAATACAATATGCGAATATAAGGAATGTTCATGATAATAAAAAGTTTTGTTGATGTGGAAACAACAACAAGTCACATAATTTCAAGATCGTGTTATATCATTATTTATTATCATAATAATAACTACAATTACAATATCACGTGGAAGGGCATGTTAGGTATAACACTAACAGTTAAAATGCCAAGAGCACCCTTTGAACAGTAGTTTCCTGCTTCAAACTTTTAATTACCTCTGAAATGTAGTTCATGTTTCACAGTTTTCATCACTCACTACATGCCCTTTTCAGGTTTCACAGTTTTCATTACTCACAACATGCCCTCTGCAGAGTAATTTCATGTTTCACACTTTTCATCAGTCACTACATGCCCTATGCAGAGTAGTTTCATATTTCACACTTTTCATCACTCACTACATGCCCTCTACAGAGTAATTTCATGTTTCACATTTTTCATCACTCACTACATGCCCTCTGCAAAGTAATTTCATGTTTCACATTTTTCATCACTCACTACATGCCCTCTGCAGAGTAATTTCATATTTCACACAATTCATCACTCACTACATGCCCTCTGCAGAGTAGTTTCATATTTCACATTTTTCATCACTCACTACATGCCCTCTGCAGAGTAGTTTCATATTTCACACTTTTCACCAGTCACTACATGCCCTCTGCAGAGTAGTTTCATATTTCACACTTTTCATCACTCACTACATGCCCTCTGCAGAGTAGTTTCATGTTTCACATTTTTCATCACTCACTACACGCCCTCTGCAGAGTAGTTTCATGTTTCACATTTTTCATCACTCACTACATGCCCTCTGTAGAGTAGTTTCATATTTTACACTTTTCATCGCTCACTACATGCCCTCTGCAGAGTAGTTTCATATTTCACACTTTTCATCACTCACTACATGCCCTCTGCAGAATAATTTCATGTTTCACATTTTTCATCACTCACTACACGCCCTCTTCAGAGTAGTTTCATATTTCACATTTTTCATCACTCACTACATGCCCTCTGCAGAGTAATTTCATGTTTCACATTTTCATCACTCACTACATGCCCTCTGCAGAGTAGTTTCATATTTCACATTTTTCATCACTCACTACATGCCATCTGCAGAGTAATTTCATGTTTCACATTTTCATCACTCACTACATGCCCTCTGCAGAGTAGTTTCATATTTCACACTTTTCATCACTCACTACATGCCCTCTGCAGAGTAATTTCATGTTTCACATTTTTCATCGCTCACTACATGCCCTCTGCAGAGTAGTTTCACGCTTCACATTTTTCATCACTCACTCCATGCCCTCTGCAGAGAAATTTCATGTTGCACACTTTTCATCAGTCACTACATGCCCTCTGCAGAGTAATTTCATGTTTCACACTTTTCATCACTCACTGCATGCCCTCTGCAGAGTAATTTCATGTTTCACATTTCACCACATGCCCATGTGGAATAGTTCAATATTTCACATTTTCATTACTCACTACAAACCCTCTACACAGATGTTTCATAATTCACATTTTTCATCGCTTGTTCATTACAAGCACATGTGGAAAAGTTCAATATTTCCCATTTTCATTACTCACAACAAGCCCTCTACACAGCAGTCTCAAGATTCACATTTTTCATTTTCATATTGACTTTGATTTTGCCTTTCCTTTCCAGTGCCTGAGTTCATTGTGACATTTTAAGGCCACGGTGGATCCCGATCAGAGTCAGCGCAAAGCTTTTTCTATATACTATGTACTAGTAATTCTGATTTTTGTTTTTTGAGTACTCTGCATCATTTATGAATCCAGGTTCTAACTGCACTGTTTTACAGTAGTCAGTTGCTCTAATTAGTAATTATTACACAAACTTAATCATTAGGTCAAGTGAGGTCAAGTGAGGTCATACTCAGCATGTTGAGCTTTTTCTTCAATTTTTTTCTGCATATCCTCAGACTGGAGCTGCTCCAATGTTAAAAGGGAAAGTCCTAACTGATCCTCCTGGAGATACAGAGATACATTTTTATCAAATATTCCCCTATTTTTGCAATTTTCAGCCTAATACGCAGACATTATTCAGTCTAATACATTGACATAATTCAGCCTGATACACTGACATAATTCACTCTAACACATTGACATGATTCAGCCTGATACATTGACATGATTCAGCCTGATACATTGACATAATTCAGTCTAATACACTGACATAATTCAGCCTGATACACTGACACAATTCAGTCTAATACACTGACATAATTCAGCCTGATACACTGACATAATTCAGTCTAATACATTGACATGATTCAGCCTGATACATTGACATGATTCAGCCTGATACATTGACATGATTCAGTCTAATACACTGACATAATTCAGCCTGATACACTGACATAATTTACAAACATTTTGTAATTAAATAAGATATTTCATTGCACCTGTTTAAAAGGCTGGGCCATCTGCCTGAGGAAATGTTTTGACAGTTGCACTGCTTCATCGGTTGAGAGATTTAGGACGCCATCTTTTAGATGTTCTTGTATCCACTTTGGCAGTTTCCCCCTTTTGTCCATACGAGAGAATCTCTAAAATACAATGATAAACTTGACATTTAGGTGTGGCTGTTTTTCTCTTTTATTTGTCATGTTTTTAAGATTGAAAAATTGAAATCAAATCTATATTTTTTACAAATTGAATGCAATGTCAACTCCAGTTGGGTATAGGTGATATACCTTATCAGCGAAGATCATTATCCCATAGTCTGTTTTACCCCTTAATGCCCTTCCCACACATTGGGCTGCATGCCTCATACATATAAGTGACATACCTTATCAGCAAAGATCATTATTCCATAGTCTGTTTTCCCCCTTAGTGCCCTCCCCACACATTGGGCTGCATGCCTCATAGCATCAAATGTTAGGAAGTCATTCTCCCGTATGTTGTAGTGATCCCTCATGTACTCCAGTCTGGCCTATAAATACAGTGTATACTATACATAAATATATAGTTAGTAATTTAATAAAAAGATAGAATACAATCAAAGTTTATTATTCCTACATGTATTGAAATGCTACTTTCAAAGGCTAATCTTTTATCTCACCATATGGTACCGTTGACTAAAACAGTACTGTATGGTATCATGAACACTGTTCAGAACAATAGTTTATGGTACCATACTCTTAATGTACTGCACAGTACCGTGGTTTCAGAGTGTGGATTCAGATGTAAGGGCTCAGATGTAAGGGCTGATGTCAAAAAGTCGCTCCACGTCAAACCCACAACTCTTTGGATAGCAAGTGTGGTTAAACCATATAAGGATTAACTTTTCGAAACATCACTTTTTCTTTCTCAGATTTACAGCATTTGCAAAATAGACAATCAAAATAGATCTCTACTACCTTTAAGATCCTACTCTGCGTGTAGACATATGGCACGCCAAACATAACAACACACCTTCCATAGTGGTGATCTGAAAGGTATGACAAAATATACAGTAAAACCTTTATAAATGTGAACACCTCTCCAATCAGAACACCTCTTAATGTGAACACTTTTTCATGCTGTCAAATTTGTTATCTCCCATTGATTGAATCACATATAAAAAACGTGCATATGCATACACAGACTTCTGCGTGCCACATGCATTTTAATGCTGATGATGTTACATTTCTATAATTATGCAGTGATTCTTACCAAAATCTATGCCCTCTGAGACCTTTCCTCTCGCCACAGAAAGCAACACAGCACCACGGCCATTGTCACAAGCCTATGTCAATGGAAAGCATTACAATAAAAACATGTATTAGTTTTGGTTATTTACTATTTTGTTCCAACAAATTACATACTATGAGGGCCTATGTAAGTGCTAAGTGCTTATTGGTCTCCGATTGTATGGTATCATCCTAAACTTGTGAAATTATGCCAATATTTCAAAATGCAAATTCAACTAGTGCACAAAGATTCACATTTTCTTGAAAGCCTCATTTAACCTCTTACCAAAATGTAACTGATTTACTCAAATGAGAACAAGTATCATACACAGCCCAAAAATGTGACAAAAGTCTATCACCTTCTGATAGTTAACAAGGGCAAGGCTGGTTTCCATGGCATCCTGCGTTTCTATAAACAGAAGCTTGTTCTTCTGGATGTTGTCTATAATACCCTAAAATACACAAATTTGTAAGATTTTTTTTTCTCAACATTGTCTATTTTTATAAATTTAAAACAGAGTTTCAATTCATAGTCTATCAATGCTAAACAAAAGTTAGAGAAGCAGGTTCAATTGCTTTGTTTTGAAACATTTTGACAAAAAGGCTTCATACAGTAATAAAGAATATCTGAGGTATTACGCAGTCAAAATATTCTTCATAATAAAGCTTTGTGCCAAAATGCTTTGTAAATAAGCATGACCTGCTTTCTAACAGGAAGAAAAGTTTCAGATATACAGATCCAGCATGATTGATTAAATGTGCTCACAAATTTGTTGTGGTGCATTTGTAAGCTTACCTGTTCATACCAAGATGCTATAACACTCTCCATGTAGACATAACTTGTGAAGAATGCAACAACGCCATCTGGGACAGAGGCTGACAGTTCCACTAACAGGTTACCATAGTTACGTATCACAGCTGAAATCACAAAAACAGTTGTCATTAAAGTTACATTAAAATTGTTAAAATATTTTATCACTCAGCTAAAGTGTACTGATATAAGCATCTACCACAGTAACACTAACACACCATCTGAAAAATGTTACCATGGTAACACACCAGACAACACTTTGAAATTAATGGGGTATTAGGTCTGACTCTGAATCCTCCAGTTTCATCAATCCCTGAATACAAAACTATATGTGAATAATTGGACCCACGGTCCTGTGCTCACACAGTGTAGTTGACGTCAAAATCAGCAATTTCTCGGAAACCAGGTAAACTTGGAAAATGCCGATGATAGGTCAAATAGGCATTATGGATATACATAAAATGAATGTGGATATGACTCAATCGGAATAGCAGTTTTAATTTGTGCGGCCAATGTTGACAGACGGACCAACGGAGGGATGGACAGACCAACGGATGGACAGATGGGCCAACGGACAGACGAATGCCTGGTCGATCCCATAGGCTCATTTAACATGAAAACACCATCACTAATCCCAAAGGTTACCATTATGTCAGCTTAAATTTCAAATGAGTATCTTCCAACTTAATTTCTGGTTGTGATCTCTCATCAACTAGTACATACTTTACAAAATCGCTTTAAACAGTAATCAGTCTTCTCAGTTTGTATGAAGAACTGATTAAGGAATACCAGTGTGATTGAATAACTGCTTAGCCAATATGGGGAAAGCAATTGAAAGTTATAATTACCTATGTCTTCTCTGCTTTCAAATTTTGATGATATAGCCACCTGGTCATTTCCTCTGCTAACAATCTACAATTCAAAATAAATGGAGATTTGGAAATTAAAGTTGATATGATTCAAATGAGAATGACTTTTATTTGACAAAATGTCAACATCTCGTTCTATTACAAAAATGTAACCTGGATTTATGCCAAACACTTATGCAAAATGTATGTCAAAAATAAAGAAGCTTTAAAAATACATTACATGTACTACTCCTGGGATGTGACAAAATAATAACTCAGTGTTAAGTTGCTATTGTGAACTCACCATTGGACAGATACACTGTCTTGCTAGAGTCATTGTAAAGGATGCCATATTCACTGGCCGGAAGTCTAGAATCTTGGGATACATGTCTAGCGGGGAGAGAGTCTGGAACAAAACAAACAAAACTGGCACTATAGCAACGGGATGGCTCTCTTAGATAATCAACACATAGCCAGTCGTAGATAGCAAATATAAAATGTTGGAAGTAATTATTTGACAAATAACCGACCAATATTTTCTTACACTCTGAAGAAATTGCCATAGTGTTAACTGTATCATAAAATCAGATAATATAGCATTGACTAATTTATCAGGCATTGATTCGACTTTTGTTACATCTTAATGTCTTAGAGGTTCATAAAATTCTTTTTTTTTAAAATAAAATTCTACATACGCCTGATGTTATGACCACGGTCTGGAATCTCTCAAACACTGGTTTGATTGCTATTGAGGCATCAAGACATACAAAATGCAACACAGGGTTGGGAATCGTTGGTGTGCGATCATCAAATGGTTCTATGATAAGGTTAAATCCTGCAATCATATAGATAAATACAACATGAAAAGACAGAAGGAGCATCAAGACATACAAAATGCAACACAGGGTTGGGAATCGTTGGTGTGCGATCATCAAATGGTTCTATGATAAGGTTAAATCCTGCAATCATATAGATAAATACAACATGAAAAGACAGAAGGAGCATCAAGACATACAAAATGCAACACAGGGTTGGGAATCGTTGGTGTGCGATCATCAAATGGTTCTATGATAAGGTTAAATCCTGCAATCATATAGATAAATACAACATGAAAAGACAGAAGGAGCATCAAGACATACAAAATGCAACACTGGGTTGGGAATTGTTGGTGTGCGATCATCAAATGTTTCTATGATAAGGTTAAATCCTGCAATAATATAGATAAATACAAAATGAAAAGGCACACACGTCTCGAACAAGCAACCTTGTGGTTATGGTACCTATACGCCTAACTCGACAACCTCAAAAAAGGTTGTTTTGTTAATCGATCAGACTAAAGGCAACAGATGTTTACATTCAAACACACCAGAGGAAGCACAACGGACATTTTGTCTACACACACATGGCTTGTAATGAAAATGCAATTTAATTTTGTGTTCTCCCGGGGAGTTACACTGAACGAACTGTGGTTTGTTTATAAAAAATTAGGATTTTGTTCGGATCTTCAATTTCTTGTTCCGTATGTCGGTTTAGTTGTTCCCACTTACTCATTTTTAATATATGTGTGCTCCGATTTATAAATTTAGGAAGATCATAGTGATTAGTCTGTATTCCCCGGAGAATTTCGTGAAACTATTTGGCAATAAATTTCGATTGATAAACCGGATATTAATTTTCTTCCGGAACTATTTTTATGTTCATTTCACGTTATTTCTTGCACATTTCTTCCTTTTTATACAATCAAACACATTTAGTTTTATCTCTTGTATTTTCTTTCTACATTTTGCATACTAGTCACCGTAACCATTGTCTATTTAGTTTATCCGGCGTACTTATTTGCGACTTATTTCCATACGCGCGGTTAAAGGTAGTGACCTGGGTTATAAAAGAAATCTCTATTGGCAAAAGTGCGCACTCATCGATATTTCAATGGACATACCCTGTGCGGCGGCGTGGCGATATTTTACATGTTGTAACGTGCTATTTGGATTATAGTCGCATTATTGAATCTTGGATAATTGAGGATAATTGTCGATGTGTTCGAGTTTGGAGTAGTACTTCCGAGATCTGCGATTTAGTAGCGCTTATTCCGACTGAGTGTGCCAGTGTATTCACGGGTGTCCAGATTTGTTGCGCGATCGGCCACACGGAATAATTTACGTAAGTGTGTATTTAGTATTTTCCAGTCCCTGACGTGGTGAGTGGTGATTTGGGCCAACTAATTGAGATGTCGATGTAGCCATCTGATTTCCATATTAGAGAGAATATTTTGATATGAACTTTTGACGTAGTGAGTGGTGATTTGGGCCAACTAATTGAGATGTCGATGTAGCCATCTGATTTCCATATTAGAGAGATTATTTTGATATGAACTTTTGATAGATAATGACAATCCATTGGATTTAGTTTTGAAGCCTGATAGTAAGAACTTGTCGATTTTTCTTGTAATAAAAACAGGAAAATAAAAGCTCTGTAATTCATGATATATGTTGCAAATATAATTCTAATTGTTTTGTGGATTGTGTAATCATATAAGAGTTGCGTTGACGGTGGAGACCCCGCCACCGGGACCTATTGCTCATTAAAAACCCCTGACAAAATTAACATCCAGTGATTAATCCCACATTGTGCGGGCCCCACCCACAAATCCCACATTGGTGTCAGAAGTGGGATCGCTTCGCGACTTTATTATTACACTCCCCGTACAGGCTGGAGTTTGAAATTTTCAACCGGGAATCGGTACTTGTTAAAATACTGTGTTCATAACTTCTCACTGTTATCGCGGAGTTTTTGGAGAGTTTAGCAAGAGAAAACTCGGTGATTAGTGTCGTGCCGGATTATATGTCGCACTCCCCGTATCCGCAGAGTCTAGCTAGCGTTTCACCCGTATTTGGGTACTTTGCAAGATTTACAAGATCAGTAGTATATGTGCGTGCCGGTCTCCCCAGATACTGTAGTTACTAGTTACAATTTATTGCTGTGTTTTATGATCAAGAATCCGAAGTAGAGTTCAGTGATTGTACGCTGATTGAATAGGTAGTTACAGTAGCAAGTTTATTGCAGCATATTTTGAAGTTGTCGATTTTGTAACTATGGATAATTCGGAGAGTATTGATGGTGATAAAGATGACACGGTTTGTTTCCGCAATGACGAGCCGGGATTATCGAACCCAATTTCAAATGATAAAACATTGCCTTTGGAAAAGCCGGATATTACAGTAACTCCAAGTTCGAGTCCCAGTCGGAGGTCTTTAACGATTTCGACAGATAAAGCGTTGCTAAATACAGCTTCTGGTGGTGGAAATTCAGGTTATATTACCGGACGCGTTATGGACGATGTGTATGTGCCGGGAAACAAATTCGGTGCCAGCCGCGTCGGCAGTGATACAGGTTTCCCTGTCACTTCGACTGTGATGGGAGGACGCACTGCGGAAATGCGCCGAAAGTTGATCAAGGGAGCAAGTAAGTCGGAATTAAGTGAGATAAATCCGGTGCAAGATTTAGATGAAAGTCTGGTAAAAGCCCAGACTGATATAACTTATATACAGAATGATGTTACTCAAATTCAGAATAACATGCAACATATCGGAGAAACTATACAAACTATGTATGGAGAAATGTTGCGAAACAAAACAGAAATTGTTCAAACACAAGACGGGATGAAAGCAGAGTTATTGCGGGATCAAGATACCCGATTCGTTGACTTAGAGACAAATCTCGGGCATAAACTCAGTAATCAAGATACCAAATTAGTAGACTTAGAGTCAAAGATTGTACATAAACTTGATGAGAAATTGAGTGAAATGGCGCGAAATCAACATGAAACAAGTTGCGCAATCATGGCCGCTTTAAATAGCAAAGAAAATTCCCCGAATCAAAATTCTGTAACTGAAACACATGGCGTGAAGAAAAATATTTCTAACAATGAAAGACCTGAACAAATTATGGGTTATAGTGAACAGACCGGTAACTTGCCGCGACCCCGTAGTTCACCCGGACTAATGGAAACTGAATCGAGCGAGAATAACGCTAGGCCCTGGCCTTTACAGCGACAAGATTGTTTTCGCATTTCGAGAAATGACACTGGCCTAGGTCCAGTTCCTGAAACATTGCGGAATTGCGCGAATGGAGCGAATAATCCTGAAACAGATAATCAGACACAGTCTACTAATACTTCTCCATCGGGTGCTCAAGATCAGAATTTAATGCTTCAACTGGTTACTCAGTGTGTTGAAATGTGTGGTAATATGGCCAAGAATTCGTCAACCTGTAGCGGTAAATTGAAAATTAGGCCGGATACTTATGACGGTAAAACTCCGTGGCGTGACTATAAAACTTATTTTAAGGAGTGTGTTGATGCAAATGCCTGGTCCGATAGCGAAAGTCGGCAATTTTTAGTTACTAGTTTACGAGGTCAAGCCCAGCAATTAGTACGTGAGATGGATCCTGATTACACATACTTTGACTTACTTCATGCATTAGAGAAAAGATTCGGCCCCGGTGGTAAGGCTGATCTATATGAAGCTGAACTTTCTCATCGGATGCGGAAACCAAATGAAAGTTTTGCTACTCTCGGGCAAGACATTCGCCGTTTGACAGCGCTGGCTTATCCAGAATTAGAACGTGAAGCACAGGATCGGTTAGCTCGCAAAAGTTTCCACGCTGCTATACCGAATGAGGAAACGCGGAAAGAAGTCCATCGTGGCAGACCAAGGTCGCTGGACGAAGCTATTGAGTTAGCTATTCGGGCCGAAGCATACATGGAGTCAGAAAAATTGCGTCGAGCCCCGAGACAGTTAGTTAGATTTCGTGAAGGAAACGTTGCAGCGGTAAATAATGAGATAACAGATGTGAATGCCTTCACTCATGACCAAGAGACACAGCTTGTAGAAACTCTGAAAAATATGTCTTAGGTTCTCACAGAATTGAAGGTGTTACCTGAGTTGATGAAAAATGTTTTGGATAGGCCAAGGAAATCGCAAGATATGAGAAACATTACCTGTTTTAATTGTAATCGGCGAGGTCATTATGCAAACGAATGTCGATCCGAGCGCCGACCAAGATATCGAGATGAGCAACAGTCAAGTGAGCAACCTCGGGGCGCTGTAAACCTAATTAAATTTGTTACCGGTGATAAGCGTCACTTGGACGATACTCCCGTTGTTAGGAAAGTCATTGCGGAAGCCGAAATATGTGGTATTAATGTTGAGTTTCTCATTGACTCCGGAGCCGTGAAAAATTTGATCGGAATAGACACATACCTAAGAATACCGTTTAACATGCGACCTCCGTTGAAAGACAATAACACATGCTTGGTCCAAGCGGATGGACGGAGATTGCGAGTGCTCGGAGTGGTAGAGTGTGACTTGTTGCTTGATGGTAAACAGCTCCCATTGGAGGCGGTTGTTGCAGATGTCGAGCATGAGGGCATTCTCGGAGCGGAATTTTTGTCGCATCACCAAGCTATGATCAATTTTGCTTCAAATACGATGTACTTCGGTAAAGAATCTGTGTTGGCGGAAGTTACGGTTTTGACATCCGCGTTGCAGTGTGACAGGGCAAAATCCCTTGGTATCACCGTTGCTCCATTGAGCATAGACAAAGAAAAATCCGAAATTGGAATTGCCGAGATGAGATCTCCCGAGTTGTTCTCATCTGACGAAGATTTATCAATGGCGGAAACGAGTGAAATACTCATCACAGATACCTCGAGTAATGCAGAAATATCCTCGATGACTGAGAATGACATAATTGTACCCGAGACTCCCGAATCCGAGTTCCCGGATGATACTGATCCCGAGTTGAGTCAATTCGATGTTGAAGTTGAGAATAGCGGTTGTTTTCTGACAGAGAACGTGCGTATCGCCCCGGAATCGGTAGTTCGTGTTCCAGTAAGGATTCCAGACACTGGAGATGTCAAAAATTCTCCCGGATTCGGAATGATAGAACCAGATGAGAGTAATTTGCATGATTATGAAGGGCTAGAGATAAGTCCAATCTTGATTGATAGAAATCGTGACTCGGTTTTGATTGAAATATGGAATAACTCCCCATTTGAGGTTGAGTTAGGGGAAGATACCCAGATTGGGAATTTTTGCTCCATTGATTTAGAAATTGGTATTGACACTGCGTGAAATATGGGATTCCAACTCTTGACACGTCTAGAAACTGGTCTTTACACGCCGGGTTTCTAGACGTGCCAATTATTTACACCTCTTGACACGCGATGAATTCAACTCTTTACACCTCTTTGCACTTCTTGGCACACGCAGTGCAAAGACGTGTAAAGACCATGTCAAAAAGTCTTTACACGCCCTGTGACAATTAATGGAATCTCTTGACACGCTCTTGGCACACTGAACAACATAATTATGTGTAAACAACTAACCTAATTACCAATAGCAATACATACAGTATTTTAACGATTGCAAGTATTTTCTCTGATACTTTTAATTGATATATTTTTTAATCATTCTTTCGCAGACTGTTTGGAACAAGTACATGTAGCAAATATTAAACAGACTATTTTGTATGTACGCTGACACATTGACTTATTTAAACATTTTGGCAATTTCATGCCGCCTTTTGAAAATATAAATCAGTTACAGGCAATGCTAATCGACGCATTGATCCTAAGTGAAGGAAATACATATCATAAGAAAAAGAAAGGCGTTTCAAGGATAAAACGTGCAATAAACTTTGAAAACACTGATACATCAGGCCTATTTATATATTTATTTTGTATTAGCTTAATATAAAGATAACCTTACTTTTCGATGAGTATTTGGATTTCGGAGTAATTTGTTTCAAGTTAAGTCAATACAAATTGTCGCCGACTTAACTTGTGACCATACATATGATAAATGAGGGGCATTTTAATACACAATTGGGCAAAACAAGCATATTCAATCGAATGTACCATTCTCTCTGCTGTTCTTTCCCAGCCTATCCATAAACAGACAGGTACAAGTTCCCATAGTTTTCGCAACATCTAATTCTATGATCAATTGCTAGACACAGCAAATATACTAATTAATTGTCTGATTGTGATTCGGGAACGTATGGTTTTTACATAAACAGGATACTTGGCTGTACATAGCCTGAGAACACCGGATTGACCCCCCCCCCCAATCGACGCCTAGGCGCTGCTTATGTTTTAATAAGAAACATTCCCTTGTAAAGAATTATCGGGATATGAATTGATACAAGGTCAAGTATTCTGCCCCTTTTGTGTGATAAAAATATGTATTTAATTGGTGCTTTAACTTTTTGAACAAAGAAATGAAATAATCGCACTGAATGTCTCAACATAGATCAGTGATGTTTAATTAATAAATGACACTATTATGTCAGTCTACGCACTTCATGGACATGGACGGGGGGGGGTGTGTTACCCATTCTAAAATGGTTAAATTTTGTATTAAAGAGTAATCAATAGGTCGTGAACTCCGATTGATAACCAACTGTAGCATACTACTTAATTTGTTTGACTATTGATATTAAAAAGGAGTGAATTTATGATATTCATAGAGGTACAGGTACATTGTATTGGTATTAATATAATAATGATATTGGGGACAACAAACCACTTTGTTTCGCAAGTAGCTTTAGGATCGCGGTTTTATCTTCACATGTTGCCCTTTGTGCAATTCGAAAATGAAATATTTTAATCTATAATTTATATATCATTTGCAAAATATATGTAATTAAGAGACATGGGGGAGGGGGGGGGGGTTAACGGCTAGAAATTGGAATGAATTTGGGAATTTCAAGGATTGATTCACTTAATGTTGTTCACTGGAGTCGATACACACACCTGCATAACAATCGGAGACAAAACTGACTTAATCTGATATGATAACAAAATATTAATAACTTAGTCTATGTTTTTGTTTTTATAATTGCGGAAGTGTACCAAAACCACCTTGATTACAGAAGATATCGTCTAGGCTTTAGATTTAATGAATAGATTTTTTGCCCTAGTCTCATTTAATAAAACAGGCTATTTGCGTATTTAATTAATATTTGTGACAAAATATTTCAGTTAGACTCAAAATCAAAACGAATTTCTCCATTATAGCCCCCCTTGCAACTGTCCCGAGTCTGCATCTGTTTTTCATGCTTCCGATCCACCTTTGGGATAGAGAGAATAGATGTAGATTGTAGATTTGTAATTTGGGGGGGTGGCATTAAATGTGTTCTCATACAAACTAAAATAAACCCCAAAAAGCCATATCAAATGTCCAAACACAAGACCAATGCCATGTCAAACATCCAAATATAGAACCAATGCCATGCCCCCGGGTACCAAATATCCAGAATATAAGACCAAGGCCATTCGAAATATCGAATGCCCCGAGAAGAAGGCAGATCTTTGAGTAAAATGATCATAAACAACCTCAAATGAAGGATATGTGTAACAACTAGACCAATGCCCCGGGACCAATGCCGTACCACAATTGAGGGGTAACATATTTTCCACACCGATTCTTATACCAGAAAATGGAAAAATCTGTCTTAAAATGTGGGTCCATTGGCTTGACATACCAAATGTAAAAAAGGTACCCCACCTGAGCCGAGTGTGAACCCCCGGGGTGAATGGTGAACACACGGGGCAAGGAATTCTTCGATTTTGATTCAAGTAATTTTTTTTATAAAATTCATACTCATGTTAATAGCGGACGCCTCGGCCAAATAATCTTTCAAATCATGCACTTTCCAAGTGATTTTGTAGCAAAATTGTGATAATATATGAACCCCTTGGAATTATTCAAAGACGGACCCCCGCCAGCCCATCCCCCATTCTTACCTATGCTAAACACTAAGATAAACATATAGAATGGTATCTTACACTTTTTTCTAAATGTTGATATCCAAAAAAACATATCTTTTTGGTTTATCAACACATACCGCTCACAATATAACAAGTATACAGATTGTAACATAGATAAGCGAATTGGGGAAAATTACAATCCCTTTGATCAAATTATTATAAGATTTAATCTCCAGCTGAGGTGCAATCAAAATGTTGATACACATAATTAGCAGTCAGAAAGATGCTCTTACCACTGTAGTTTTCAATATTCCCTTTGTTGTAACATCTTATTTCAAAAGAATGGATATTGATGGTTGTATGGAAGTATTCATATCAAACATTCACATTATAGTTTACAGTGGAATTCCCTCCATAAATGCAACATATTTACCATTTAAGATTTCATATTGGACTTTCCGCATAATGATAAAATGTTGACGATATAGTTTTCGATAAAACCCCAGGGCCGTAGCCAGCTTTCAGTCGGGGGGGGAGGGGTGATGCAATCACCAAAATATTTTAGGTTTTCAGTCGGGGGGTGCGATCGTGACATAAATGAGGAAAAATATTTGTTTTGAATTTTTACGAAAATGATGCAACTTCCTTCAAACCTGAGCTAGAAGCTTCAAACAAAAAATCAATTTAATGCTCTTTTCTTCCTCTACCTTATGGTACCTTTTATTGCTTGTAGGAGGGGGTGCGAACCCACCGCTTCTCCTCGTTACGCTTATAAACCCAATAACGTATTCCCAAGGAATCGACTTTATTAATTTATATGTGAAAAATGAGCTTGCATGTACAAATTGCATCGTATGCAAACCTTCCCCTGACCGACCCGGTCATGTTTATGTCTTTTGAATGATGTCTACCCCTTGATGCATGCATCCTTTAATAAGTGGTGTTAAGAATATTGGTGTAGGCCCTGGTGAAGGGATATGTCATAAAGATTTCACGTTATCGCGATATACATGTAGCCGCGTCCCCTTTGTCTTTATCCTTCTAAACGCAAACGGCAGATAAGAGGGGTTCTTAGTGATTGATCTGATGCTTAATAAGCCACTTACAAGATACAGTTTTAAATATTGATATTGTGTAAAGTTTTAACACATAGGCGTAACCAGGGGGGGGGTGCGATTCGTGAATGATCGCACCCCCCCCTGCTTAATCAATGGAGAAGGAAGAAGAAAGGAGCTTTGAATTGCTTTCATTTGAAACTTATAGTTCAATTTTGAAGGAATTTGCAATGTCTGGTTCACATTTGCTCAAATTCATCGTCCGGCCTCCGGCCGATTGAGTATTTCGTTTAAAATTGTTTTCATGTTTGAAAAAACACTCAATCGGCCGGCCCCCGGCCGATGAATCGGAGCAAATATGACCCAGGCATATGAGGGGCAACATTTTAGATATAGTATTGTTTGAAATCCTGGGAAAATGCACTCCCCCAATTTTGCAAATCTGGTCTGCGGTGCTAATGAACCCTCTAATTTGTTTTCGTTTACATGAGCAACTAACAGATATGTTTATTCTCATTCTGTCTCAGCTTGATTTTAATTAAATTTTACCCCCACCCTTCGAACGTCTTTGTCTCCCTCATTTTTGCAACCCTACATTCAGTTTCTTTTTAAACCAAATCAAGAAATATCCGTCCACATATCAGATATTAAACCAATAGTTGTTCATTATAAGAACAACCATATATTATATTTATAGATCATAAGCTATTTTTAATTTCAGCTATAAAATTAGCCCTCTCTCCCCTCCTCTATCTCTAGATACGCAGAGTTTCTAGACCGGCTAAGCACGTCTAAAAATTACTAGAAATTCCACAATTTATACAGTGATATGGATTTCATGTTTCTATTGAATCCCTTATTTTGAAGTCTAGCTAAATAATCGAGTTTGATTTTAAACGTTTCGGGGATCCGGGCAGAACTCAGGATATGGTACTTGAGTACATTTGCATTCAAAATAATTCAAAATTGCAAATATCATGGAAGTTGATTGCAATTATGTTCGATGATCGTCAACATGAAAGAACAATATGTCTGAATAATTAGCTATTAAACATCTTTATCAAAACTTTCCTACACTTTTAAATGTTGATCTTTTCAAAGAGTACTCTCCATCTGAGATTCAGATGTAGATCGAAAATCAAATTGATTTCAAAGGTATTTATAGATGGTTTACATGAGGGGTTCTGTCCATGTGGGTGGTGTATTCCTTTCATAACAAAGAGTTGTTTTGCTTCCGGGGTCCTAAATTATTCAATTTTAAATAGTAACTA